ACTCCTCTCGGATCTTGCTGATCAGCAGGGTGCCCATGCCGGAGCCGGTGCCCCCTCCCAGAGAGTGAGTCAGCTGGAAACCCTGAAGGCAGAATAACAGCAAACAGAGATGAGAAACATGACAGTAACGTAGATGCAGGGTCAGGCTTGGTTCTCAGATACTTCTGTATTGTATTTTATGTTATTTGGCACTGATGTCATTACTATGAAGATAACCTCATGTCAATGAAACTGTAGATTTACTGTTCTTATGATGAAACAATACCTGAAAATAATCTTTTTTGATCCCTTATTTTGGGCATAAAACATATTATATATATACATATGTTAAATATTGTGGAAATACAAGCAGTGAGACAAGAACTTTGAATTTTTTTATTGCTTTTATTGCTATCTTTAACTATCTAAATTACTCATTTTTTGTTGTTGTCTTTAACTTTTTTATCATTGCATTGGTCTCTTAAATCCTTTTTTAAAGCAGCAACAAGGAGCTTTCATTGTGTGTTGATTCTGGTGGCCCCTGTGGACAAAAGCGGTAGTGCTTGTACCGCCTTGTTTCATTGATTTCAAGGGGAATCTGACTCAATTGGTAATTCTTCCATTGTAAGGAGATTATGATACCAATAAATATAAGTACATAAAGTGCCCCCTACTCATGAGACACAGAAAGATAAAAACCCATTATTCACCTGGAGACAGTCGCAGTGTTCGCACTCCTTCCTCACTATGTCCAGGACCGAGTCCACTAGCTCCGCTCCCTCCGTGTAGTGACCTTTGGCCCAGTTGTTCCCCGCACCTGTCTGACCTGCAGACAACCAATCGGCACAGAGAAAAAGTCTATCTGTGAAATGTAAAATGATAGCCACAGCAGATGGGAATGTGCGTGCAGACACACACGCCTGGCTGGTGACCCATTTCCCAGGCGGGCGGATCGGAGGACCGAGTCGACTTCATTCTGTGTGTGTGTGAGACAGACGGAGAGATCTATACCCTCCCTGCTTCTTCTCCTACTGAGACATCAGTTTATAAAACAAACGCTGGAGTTATTTCAGTCTGTTTACTGTACAAATTTAATGCTGGAAAGATTCCTCGGACCTCTGTAACCACACAAAGTATCTCTGACAGTTAAGAACACAGAGAGATATCTCGCTTTTTAGCCTGTTTTAGCTCCTAGTTTTGGTTTTGCAGCACGTTTCCTGCCTGGTTGGGTCTCAGTGTTTCCAGCAGCAGCTGTTTTAGGCTGATAAAGGCACTGTGCAGCAAACAGACACAGTTACCCCCAAATTCCACGGAGAACAGCGTGCAGATCAACACTGTCAGTCAGTCAGTCAGAGGGGATTTTAAGTGGAGAAACAAAACGTTTTTTTTCTTTTTTAAGGACAAAATACCCAAGTAAACAACGTCGGGCAGGCAGTACGCTCTCGAAGAACAAGACCCGCTCCCTCTGTAGATAAAACAGCTCATTCTCAGGTAACACAACGATCCTTATTTTCAGGTACCTATGAGTCTTTTCACATTAACAACCCTGTAAACATAAAACTGCATGAACCCACAAATGAACCTGTGGAATGAAAGCAGGTGAGTGTTACCAAAGATGAAGTTGTCTGGTCTGAAGAGTTGTCCGAAGGCTCCTGAGCGCACGCTGTCCATGGTTCCTGGTTCCAGGTCGACCAACACAGCCCGGGGGACGTATTTATGTGCTGCACAAACAGAGAAAGACTCGTAACTGGCAACATAAAACTCATAATACCTCACCAGCATCAGTTGTTTGATTGACCACCAACCATTAAACTACTGCACCGGATAAAGGCAAAAACAACCCGCAGGAAGCTTTTAGTGTTGCTTTCAGAGGTGAAATGTGATTTATTTTTCCAACAGGAGCCAAACTCAGACATCAGCAGTCCTTCAGAGGAAGTGTGTGACTCACAGTGACTCTCACACACACACACACACACACACACACACACACACACAGACACACACACACACACACACACACACACACACACACACACACACACACACACACACACACACACACACACACACACACACACACACACCTCTGCTGTTGTATTGTACTTACAGGACGCCTCATTGTAGTAGACGTTGACTCTGTCCAGCTGAAGAGACGAGTCACCCACGTAGCTCCCCGCGGGGTCGATGCCGTGCTCGTCACTGATCACTTCCCAAAACTGAGTCACAGCAGCAAGTAAAGAGAAGAAGAAAAAGCTCAGATAACCTCCGAACCTGGTGACTTCTTGTCTCACACTCTCTGACACCTGAAGTCCAACTGGTGGATGAGACCCAGTTAGAGATTCTGCCCACAGCTGTGTTCAGACACCTGACTGTCGGGGGCATCTCCAGACTCGTTTGACTGGGGTTGGTACAAGAGGAGGAGCGCTGACTTATACAGGGGTGGCATGAAGTGTTTCAGCTTTCTAGTCAATCCCAATTAAAGCAATTCCATCACAGATTGTGCAGAAATATCCAGATACAGTAAAACAACACATTTATACCACAGGGAATAAACTGCGGGTGGGCTGACTGCACTTGAGGGTACCCACATAATCCATTTTTGTTCCGATATATTGAGGTCAGAGGTCAAGGGATCTCTTTGAAAATGGCCAGTTTTTCCAACACTAAAATATATTATATTTAGTATATTTAGTATATTTAACTGCCTTCCTGACATGCTAACCCCAGGTGGTCAAATAGAGTCCTATAAGGTAGTGAGAGGTCATTTAATGTGACTTTTCTATCAGTGACCTAAACCTGTGTGCAGTGTATGGACGTCTTTAACATGCTGCAGCCATTTCTCTACTTTTATTTACAACCGGGGCCTTGTTTAACAAGCTGCGTCACCGCTGAGATACAGTACATACTTTCCACACCGTCATACTGCTTTATTACCCAGCAGCCTTTGTGGTTACAGAACGCAACCCGCTGTTAATTTACTGTATTTTGTTGCTCCTGTATCACTCTCACCTCCGGCTGTAAGTTCACTCCTCTGACTTCCAGCCCAGAAAACTCAGCTGAAATAGTTGTGTGATTGCTCAGAGTGTGTGTGTGTGTGTGTGTGTGTGTGTGTGTGTGTGTGTGTGCTCTCCCAGATTCCTCGAATAGTCTCACAGTGCCTCTGAGTTCACTTCACTCCCCCTCACCACTGTGTTGAGTTTATCACAGGACGGAGAGCACACAACTGAAGATTTTACTGATCCAGACTGATCTGGTTCTGGCCCCGAGCTACGGAGCAGAAATGTTGACCCCCTTAGGAACCAGTTCACAGCCTCAGGTCAAACGTAGTCCGCTACGTCCGTTGTGCCTTAAGTTTTATCAATGAGTGTGATTCAAGGCAGAAAGTATTAATGTATATCAGAGCAGTGGGCCTCCTGTCTCTTCTTAACCCAAAGTCCAGAGACAGAGATATCACATAAAACCTCTCTCTCTCTCTCTATATATATATATCTATCTATATATCTATATCTATAGATATATAGATAGATATATTTGGGGGCTTTTATTGCCTTTAATTGATAGAGACAGCTCAAGAGTGAGGACACGCTGAATATTTAACTTTTAAATATTCTTTAATAAAGTTGTTTAAGTGCACGATCCACACAGAGAAGGTTAAACAATGATATCAGTACTCTGTCACTGTCCTTCCAGACAGTAAAACATTTAAATATGAATGTATCTGCTCCTTCCAGCTTCCCACTGAAGCTCTATGACATTTACTGTCTTTGAGTCATTTCACACTCATTTCCACATTCAGCCTCTATTCTTTGTAATATTTGTGTGTATTGATTGTAAACTTTAAACTAAAGTTAGACACGTTGTTATGGATGCAGTTGCTTTAGAGCAGGAGTACTGACAGTGTATCAGAGCTTTACAGTGAGCATTAGAAGCTGAGACATACTAGCAGCACTTTACAGTAGAGAACCAGGAGCACACACGAACCGGGTCAGTACCTTGGTCCCGATCTGGTTCCCGCACTGTCCCGCCTGGATGTGAACTATTTCTCTCATCTTGTCGTCCGTCTGTCGGTGTGGTTCTCCCCGCTGCTGCTCTGTCGGTCCTCCGCTGCCGGACGTCGGTGTGCGTCTGTCTGTTAAACGGGAGCGCGCGACCGGCTTCATCCCCTCCTCCTCCTCCTCCTCTCACGCGCGTCCACGCGACCACGCCCTGAGGGAACAACCGGGGGTCTATCTGCCCCACTCAGCACAAATAACCCCACTGTTACTGCTGCCAGGTACTGAATCCGACCTCAGGTGTTATTGATCTCTGATTGATTTCTGTAATCCAGTTCCACACTGTAAAAGCTGATCACCTGAAACAGTTTCAACAATTTAACCATGATGTCTTTGATTGGGTGCCAGTAACTCTTCTATGCTGCTCATTCTTCCTCCAACAATTTAAGCATAAAAGTATTTAACTTTAACAAATAACCAATTTATTGTTAAAGTAAATTAAGTTAATTGAACTCAAAACTAGTCGGTATATTACTCTCATATGTATGTGTATAGAATTGATCTAAATGAAGAAACTACAAACGTTACGACTTATGCTGGAATTACTTTCTTCCACTAGAGCTAATTACATCTGACGTACAATAAAACTATTTGGAATTAATTGATTATCCAAATGGTCACATAGAGATAAATGGAGCTACACAGAGTCTAAAGGGGCAACCTGCAGCTGTTGTACTCTGTTCTTCTATACTTTTACTTAAGGATGTAAATGCAGGAGTTTTACTTGTAACAGTGGAATAAATGGTGGTATTGCTGAGGTCTGAATACTCCACACAGTCCACAGTGTGACTCACTGCGGCCAGTGCAGAGGAATGAGGAAGGACACCTGGAGGGGGATTTCTCTGCTCTGTGAGGGAACATGTGCCAGACATTCTTACAGAGAGATGATGAAGCATCGGTCAGCTGCTGCTGGGGCCGGCAGCAGTGTCACTTTACACATCACAGAGCTATAAAACAGGAATCGCTGCGTGCTGATGACTGCTTTATTCTGCAGAGAACAAGCTGTGAGACAGAAACTAAAAGAAATCCAAAGAGTGAGACCTCCAGGTTTACAGAAACTTACAGATCTAGAGAACTTAGAAAAGTCTATTTTTATTAATATCTTTGATTTACAGATGTTAAATTTGTTTTAATCTTTTTCATTTTGGCATTAAATACAAATTTGTGACAGTTGAAATAATTTCCTCCTGACATTCACACACACAGTTAAAACGTGCTCAGTGTCCAGAAGAAGAGGAAGATCGTTCCATTCGGATTAAACAGTGAGCAAGAGGAAAACATTAAAACTGATGGACTGAATTCATCCATTAAGTGGAGAAACACACACACACACACACACACACACACACACACACACACACACTCTCTAGCAGTCGTCCTCTGCGGTGTACTGCAGTAACGATGAGGACGTGTAGAGCAGCAGCTGGCCCGTCAGTCTGGTCAGGCAGGTGAAGCAGCGCAGCAGCAACCTGACAGGGAGACACACAACCCGTCTTCAGCTCCACAGACTGAACAACATTCAGTCATTTACCTTTTTATTCCATCTTTTACTCCATTTTGTGCATGAATGTATTTTATATAATGTTTGTTTTAATGCCACACTGTATATAAATAAACCTCAAACTGCACTAAAGTAAATGCACTCAGTTACTGTCCACCACTGCACTGCAGTATGAGGCGGAGGTCGGCTGCAGTTTCCTCGGGTCACCAGCAGAGGTCAGCAGAGCTCCACTCACTTGAAGACGTGTTTCACCCGGCTGCATCTGAAGTCGTAGGACAGCGAGTACATCTCATACAGGGTGGCCCTGACGGCGAGGCAGCACAGGAAGTCTTTGGGGTGCAGCTTGTAGAGGTCGAAGGTCAGTTTAGCAATCCCGTTCTTCTTTGGCTGACGGAAACTCGGGAACATCTGAAACATACAGGAAACAAAACCTGGATGTGATGCTGGAGAGATCTGTCATAAAGTCTGGACCTTCCTCCTTTCAACAGGGTCAGAGGTCAGGACAGAGCAGGGATCCACCGTAACCTGGTCCAGGCCTTCAGTACAAACAGCCTCACCAACGGAAGACTACACTGGGCAGTTCCTCCAGGATTACACTGGATTATTTGGGGTTTGTTTCAGCCTAAAATTTCAGATTTCACAGCTTTCTAAAAATGTTTCATGCTTTTAGACCTTTTTTTGCAATGTACTTGCAGGAGAGAGTGAACACTGCAAGAAATATTAGCTTTTATTGTACAATTCAGTAAAATCACCAGTAGTGTGGTGACCTATGGCTCAATGATTGGTGAAACTCAGTGAAACTACAGTGATTGGTCAGATGTGCAGAAAAGCTGCGGTTCTGATTGGATATATTTTACTCAAAATCCTGCAAAACTTTGCTTATGATTTATCCTGCATGACTCCAAACATTTTCAGTCAGGCTGCGTTCAAACAGTCTCGGCCAACCGTAGGACCAAAGCGGGCCCCAACTGTGGCCTCTCCCTCTGTATTTTCTCAGGACTTGATGCTCACCTTGTTCTGCGTCCATATCTCTCCTTCCTCCAGCACCATCAGCGGTGTGTTGCTGGGCAGCGACTGGAAGAATTCCTCAGAGTCCACCACAGTCCCGTCCTCCTCCAGGACCACGGTCAGGAACTGGCAGGACAGCATGAACACCCTGACCGCCTGAGACGCAGCACAAAGGAAACCAATCACTGAAAGTGTCACAGTCTGTGCCGCAGAAGATGTGTGACGTGTCTGACAACGTCACAGAAAGGATCTTCACCTGCTCCAGCAGCTCGTCCAGGGAGCACGCCTCCAAACCTCGCCGCCGCCTCCGGCTGCTGGTGCAGACCTTGAAATAGCGCGGCTGAGCTGAGGGCAGGATGTGACGAGAGATGGTGGTCTGGACTGTAGATACAGACCTGCCAGGTTATCAAAAGATTATCAGGTTATAAAATATCAGATTAATAGGACACTGTTGGCTCTCTAACTAAAGTATTTCCTACTTTATACTTAAACTCCTCGACGTTTGTCTGACAGCTGGAGCAACTGGTTCCTCTGCAGGTTCAGATTTTAGAAAGAAAATAAGTTGCCAACTATTTTGATAATAATTTAATTGTTTCATTTTTCAGGCAAAAACGTCAAACATTTGCTTCTTAAATGTGGGGATTTGTTGCTTTTCTTTCGTAAATGGAGCTCATTGACACATTTTTTGGGCATTTTAAAAACGATTAATTGGGAAAGAATAATCGGCTGATTAATTGCAGCCCTATACAGCGTTAAAAGCTGCTTACACCTTAATGTGCTGGTTCCTGGCCCCCGTCACCAAAGCTTCATGGAAGGTCTTTATCTCTGCATTACATTCAGTTCAGGCAGAACCGATATACATTCACACTAATAGAGAAAATATTTGAATAAACAGTGGAGGAGTGTAACTAAGTACATTTACTCAACTACTCCACAGAAGTACAATTTTGAGATACTTTATACTTTCTACTGCAGTTACATTCATTTGATAACTTCAGTTACTTTGCAGATATTATTAATACAAAATATAAAACAACTAATAAATAATGTATTATTATAGATGAAGCCACTGCGTATTATAAAGTAATCAAAATGAGCTCATTCAACAGTGCTAGCATCATACAGGTTTATAGTACGTTAAAAATAATATATATGTTGTTTTAAACATCTATGCATCAGATCGGAAACGTCACGCCGATAATCAATCCATCCCCAAACCAAATCACCGGTTTCACACAAACTTCCTGCAGTTAGTTCACTGTTTGGGTTCATTGTTCAGTTTATCAGCTGCTCTCTGCTGTTTTACATTAGTCTCACAATTTTAAGATTTTAACATTCTTAAAGTTGTTTTGGATGTATTTTTTTCTTCCTCACATTAAATCACATTTTAAACCCATATTGAGAGTAAGAAATAGATTCAAGGCTCCAATGTACAAAAATAAAAATAAAAAGTTCACTTTTTAAGTGCATATATTAAAAGCTTTATTTTATGTTTTCTTTCATTTTCATAGTTTTCTGGCTGAAATTAAAAATAGAGTTAAACATATTTACATTATTGCCTCTTCTGCTCAAGTAAATACTTCCACACCTGTTTTCACCTGTTTCTGCCTCATTTACTCCACAGTGTTTATTTGAATGGTTTCTGTATTGATCTCTGTGAGTCCTGATTTCTTCATTTATCCTGTTTGTATCATGTTTGTCTATTTCGATTTATTTGTTGTTCTTATATTTTGGTCAAGCTGGATGCCTTTGAGTACAAATAAAGTCACTTTTACCGTTCTGGATACACAGAACTGCAAACAACAACATAAACAAAGACATAAAGTCTTCAGATTTAAAAAGAGGAACAGAAGGCCTCAGATCAGAGTGGTTTCCAACATCTGCAGACAGTCAGCTGGTGGTCGACACTCGGAGCTTCCCACTGAAAGAAAACCGACAAGTTTCGTTCACCCACCTCAGCAGAGTCTCCGGAAGCAGAGTTTTGGCGTAATTCACTCCCGACTGGATGGACAGCGGCGCCATCGCGATGCCAATCAATCAATCAGGATCGATAATAGCCCCGTTTAGTTGCAGCGGGTGTGATCGAGGCTGCAGGGACTCTGATCAGCTGTGAGCAACAATATATTAACAACGGCGAGCTGTGATTGGCTGCTGACCAACAGGCCGAGGACCAATAGGACGGAGAGCTGCCTCAAACTGCTCTCATCGATACACGATCAGGAAACTGATCGATTATTAACTCGAGGTGTTTGTTTACATTTTAATACAACATAAAACAAACAAAGTACATATAATATACAGCCCAACATGATAAAGACAGTCAGGTCGAAGATAAATAATAGGACAGCAGTTCAAATGTTTTTATTGTGTAAAATGAAAGAAACATAAAAACTCCAATTACAGTTTAATGTCATTATTAAGTTTATATTCACTATTATTATTAAATGAATATCAATATGAAACTGTGTGTCTGCTACAACAACAGAGCAGCACAATAAAGTAACCCAGGATTAAATGTTTAAATGTTCAAATGTCCTCAACAGTACAAACATTATCAGTTGTTCTTTCCATATAATGCAGAAACAGAACTGTATTTCCCTCTTTAGTGTTTCAGAAATCACCTCTCTCTCCACTCCACTGTCGTTCTTTGGGTCCAGGATGAAGAATAAACCTTTAAACTGACCCTGGTCCAGATATTAAAGCAGCTTACGGAGCTGGTGGTCTTTTGTTTCAGACTAAATGAGATTAGGGTGAACGTTTTAATGTGGTGAGGAAATAATAATCGAGCCTTTATTTGTAAGAGGCAGCAGAAAGGAAAGAACTACAGCACGAGCAAAGGTCATTGTTTAATCCACACACACACACACACACACACACACACACACACACAGGGACAGTGTCTCTCTGCTCACAGTCTAAGCATTAGTGATGTAGGCAGCTTATGGGTCAGCAGGGTCGCCATGTTTTTAATTAGGGAACTTTATACACGTGAGGGGAAATGAAAATATAAAAGGTTCAATTAGAGATTCTGACAATATGTTTCAAAAATAGGACAAAAGAAGAGGTTTAATTTGTAATTTAGCTTCAGCAGGTGTCATATTTTGCCCCAATAAGAAATATAATCATACATAAAGTCTTTAAAGAAAAGGGGAGGTGTGCTTTCAAACTAATGTTACATATTCTTCAGTTATGTTGAAATTAGAATTTATTCAAACAACCTTATTATTATTATTATTATTATTATTATATATATATTATTAATGTTTTAATTAACTAGTTGAACAACCTGAACAAGCAAATCAACAACACAGGAGAAAAAATAATATTAATTCATTTGAGATTCATTATTATTATTATATATTATTATTATCATTATTATTATTAGTGTTTTATTATATATTATTATTATTATTATTATTAGTGTTTTTATTATTATATATTATTATTATATATTATTATTATATATTTTATTATTATATATTATTATTATTATATATTTTATTATTATTATTATATATTATTATTATTATTATTGTTATTATTATTATTATTATATATTATTATTATTATTATCATTATTATCATCATTATTATTATTATTATTATTATTATTATATATTTTATTATTATTTTTTTATTATTATTATTATTATTATTATTATTATTATATATTTTATTATTATTATTTTTTTATTATTATTATTATTATTATTATTATATATTTTATTATTAATTTTTTTTATTATTATTATTATTATTATTATTATTATTATTATTATTATTATTATTATTAACTTTCTTCTGACTGACCGTCTACATTTACCGGAACTGTTGACTCTGGCTGCTGTTTCCGTCGGACCTCTGACACAAACGTACCAAGCGGTGCGCTTTAAAAACCTCCCGCCTGAAGCGGAACCAGCGGAGCTCCCGAGCTCACCGACTGCAGTTCCCGGTTCTGTCGGTTCTGTCGGTTCTGTGGGTTCCCGGTCGGTTCTGTCGGTTCTGTGTCAACATGAAGTTTCGAGGGAAAATCATCGACGTCGCGTGTCTGACCCATTTTACACGTACGTTACGTTACGTTACGTTACGTTACGTTACGTTACGTTACCCTGTTAGCTTCCACCAAACTTCAGCAAGAAAAGTCACATTTGTGACCGGAAACACAAACAGATTAAATTCAGAATGTAGAAGTTTATAATTTCTGTAAGTTTCATAAACTGTTGGAGGCGGTCTTTAATTCGGCGACCTGAAAGAGTTTCTAATTTAAATAAATTAAATATATTTCCATCAAAAGGAACAAACCGTAGTGAACTCTTCAATTAATGGACAACATTAACATTTTATACAGAAAGGTTGTCACTAACTGCTCCCACTCTCTGTAGGGAGGCAACAATACCCTGAATATAAATCACAGAATCACATTTATTTCTCTTTAACTTCATCAAACTTCACTAACTGAAATATTCCCATCAGCTGTGAACAGTTAGAATGATCAGTTACAACCAATCTCTGTAATTCTATTATAATAATGATTATTATTTGTGTTTCTGACGTCTGATCATCATTTTCTCTCGTTTATTAAAAGAAGGATGAAGCTCTTATTAATTCTCTCACCAGGAGTCGTCACCACCATCTCCAAGCTGACGAAGATGTGCGTCCTGCGGCTGACCCCAGACAACCTGTTCTTCGTCCTGTCGGGTAAAGTGGCCAACGGGGGGGTCAGCATGTGGTGTGAACTGTCACAGGTAAGAGTTCCACCTGTCGGGGCATAAAACGGGGTTTCTACGTACGAGTATAAATCTGGCCCCTGATATTAGATATTAAAATATAACTGAGCGTAGCCTAATTTATTGATCAGTTATCTGTTAGCACAGCTGAATATGGGACTGTTTATACCGTATACACTCAATCTATTATCAGTTACTGCAAAGAAAACAGCAAATCTTCCCATTTAGAAGCTGAAATCTGTGAATTTTCTGATATTTTAGTTTTAAAAAGAAGCGAATCGATCTACAGCGTGTTTCAGCTCCAGCAGGTAAAACTGAAGCCTCCTCGCGTGGCTCCGTTCTTATTCTTCCTCCCTGCAGGCCAACTTCTTCGACGAGTACCAGATGGAGGGCGTGTCCTCTGAGGACAATGAGATCTGTCTGGAGGTGACTCCAGAGAACCTGTCCAGAGCCCTGAAGACGGTCCAGAACGCCAAGACCGTCAAAGTCAAACTGACCAAGAAGCACTGCCCCTGCCTCACCATCGCCGCCGAGCTGGTGAGACCGGAAAACAATACGCACGCCGTCTCGCCGAAGACTGAACTGACCATCTGTGTTGTTTTTATTCTGTTCTTATTGATGAGACCCCCCCCCTCTGTCCCGTCCAGCCCACCATGTCCAGCATCAACCGAGTGGTGACTCACGACGTCCCGGTTGACGTCATCCCCCGGAGACTCTGGCACGAGTTCAAAGAACCAAACATGCCCGACTTCGACGTAAGTGGCACACTTTCAGCCTCCAGTGGAGACACTGATCCTGTGAGTCCTCTTCGTCTCTGGAGAGTTCAGAATAAATGTCGTCTGTCCTCACAGGTCAGCATCTACCTGCCTCCTCTGAAGACGATAAAGAACGTCGTGGACAGAATGAAGAACCTCTCCAACTTCCTGGTAGGGTCACATTCCTCCTCAACCATTAAGTCTGTTATTAAAGTTGGATGTATTGGCCACCGTAGCTGTAATCGGTGAATGCTCCATCTTGGGGAAGCTGAAGTAAAGTTTGAGTTTGTTCAGTTAAAGTGTGTGTGTGTGTGTGTGTGTGTGTGTGTCAGGTGATGGAGGCCAACCTGAACGGAGAGATGAACCTGAAGATCGAGACGGATCTGGTTTCAGTCACCACTCACTTCAAAGACCTGGGGAACCCTCCGTGGGGTAAAAACAACCTCACTGTCTGCTTTTAAACACGTTCGTTATCAGCAAATGATAAAATGTCAATCACCTCCGTCCCTCCAGGCGACGACGCCTCCCAGGACGGCGGTCCGTCTCAGAGCAGGGACCCAGAGGCCATGGCCCAGGCCCGGGTGGACATCAGGAAGCTGCAGCAGTTCCTCGTGGGCCAGCAGGTCAACCCCAGCAAGGCCATGTGCAGTAAGTCTGTGCACAGCTGGAAACAGTCCGACGCACAATGTCACGTGACTGAGTTACATCAGCGTTGTCTGTCCTCCCTCAGATATCGTCCACGAGCGGGTCGTCCACCTGATTCTGCTGCATGAAGACGTGTCGCTGCAGTACTTCATCCCCGCTGTGGCATAGACGCTCTGCAGGCACAACTTCTTCCTACCCTCTGAAGTTGGGGGGGGTGCAAAAGGAGGCTGAGCAGTGAACCTGTTCCCCACGCGAGCAAGGACTCCTCTGCACAGGATGTCTTAATGAGACTGAGGTCGGTTCCGGTCCTCGCAGTGGACCTCAGGCAGACCGGAGCCACTGAGCTTTGGTATCGGTGAGGACTCGCTGGTGAAGGTGAAGATGGAACCAGTTGCACTTTAATTGTTCTTTCAAGTTCACGTTGTTTTGTGTTTTTACATTAAAAGTGTTAAAAGTGTCATTTCTTTATTTGGTTTCACTTCCAACATCTTTACAGCTGCTGCTGTTGTTGTTGTTGTTGTTGTTGTTGTTGTTGTTGTTGTTGTCAGGGTTTGAGACGGGTGTCTTGATCCCTTGACCTCTGACCTGAAGATATCTGAATGAAAATGGGTTCTATGGATACCCACAAGTCTCCCCTTTGCAGACAGCACAAGAACATACCGAGTGTATTTGAATATTTCTGTGTACTGAAGGTCCCTGATACTGAGGGTCCCTGATACTTTACACTTCTACATATTTATTACGCTGCTTTTGTTTCTTTCTAAAAGATTTTCTTGTCCCTGATTGGTTGATTTTCTTACTTCCCTTTAAAGTCAAGTTCTCGTGACCCCCCCCACGAAGCTTTGACTCGACCCCCCAGGTTGGGAGTCACTGATTTAGACCATTAGGTCTGTTTAGGGAGAATTAAAAGTGTTTTTTGCTGTGTAACATTTCTCAGGCTGACGAGGATTCACAGCCTCAGTGTTTTACAGCGCTGTTCGCATTAATGACAGAAAACATTCATACGTTTAATATTTAAAGGAGGACGACAACAGAAGAGGAATAAATGAATTATATTGAAGTTATGAGGATCTGTGCTTTTTACTAATTCAGAGAATAACTTAAAGAAAAGGTTTATAAATCATAGATGTATGCACAGGAATGTCTCTGATCCCTCCGGCTGTTCATTTCCTCAAACAAGAGGAGACAGAAGACCTCAGCAGGAAGCAGCCAACCATGAATACCTGCCCTTCAAAATAAAGCGAGGATATAAAAGTGTTAGTGTATTCAAGCAGTAAATTAAAGGTCTCCGCTGTAGATTAACATGGTTTAATGTAAAGATGTGTTTTCTAAATGCTGATGGTTTGTGATTAAAGGTTGAATGGAAGTCCTTTACTTCTAAACATTTAATTTAATTCACCAGAAAAATGACTATTTCATAAATAAACACACTATTAATGCTCAAAGAAACACTTATAAAGCTTAAATATATGTACTTTTACATCAAGGACAAACTTACACACTGTTATTTGTTATTACCAGTGTTGAGCCAGTTAATATGTAATGTAATTTATTACTCATTACTCCTTTATAAAGTATTACTTTACTAGTTATATTAGTTTTCTGCTGCGCCCCATAAAATTAGTAATTGTGTCCTTTCTCCCTAAATTGACTGACGATGATTAAAATCCACTTTTGTTTGTTAAAAGTAATAAAAGTAAGAAATGAATCCGAGGATGGGATTGAAATGATTAGCCTGTAATATTATTACTGAAATGTATTAATAATTACGGTGGCCCTGAGGTGCAAATCACAACGGCAAATCAGAAAACACAACGACATTAACCAAACCGGAAAAGGTAGGTACCCTCGTCGCTGATTGGACAAAAGAACTGGTCCGTCCTTTGAACCGGAAACACAACACCACCAGACCTATGCGTTCAAGTTGCCAAATCTGAAAATTCAAACCACTAAATAAAGAAAATATTGCATTAATACGTCCATGTTAATGTGGGATACCTAAGAGAGGTAGAAACAGGAGTTCCAATAGTCCATATCTATGTGTTTTCTCTTTTTGTGTTGTGTTTTCTGATTTGCTGTTGTGATTTGCACCTCAGGGCCACCGTAATAATGAATCCTTTATGCAGCATACTGTGAACTTGCAGGACAATATGTGGCACATTCCTGTACAGCTCTTCACTGATTTAGTCATATTGTTCATATTGTATCTCATTTTATTTATATTTGTTTATATCGTCTGTTTTTATCTTTATTTATGTTTCATTGTGACCCAACAACTTACCAAAGCAAATCCCTTGTTTGTGAAAACCTCCATGTCAATAAAGCAGATCCTGATTGTTAGTGGGGAAATCAATATTATTATTACACTGATTATCAGAGAAAGTCTTACTGAGGATATTTCCAGGTGTGTTCATTATAGATGGCGGCTTTTATTTTGAAGGACTTGGACAGGAAGGGTGTCAGCTGGTGTTTTCTGGTGGAACTCAGTTGGGAAACGGTAAGTGTCCTGTTATTATTCAACTGTTAGAGGGTCTGCAGGGTCTGCAGCCCCCCCCCTCCTTTAAGGAAATCTTAATGTGGTAACTATAACCACTCTGCCTGTGTGTGTGTGTTTGGGGGGGGCGACCCCCCCTCTATAAATGCCTCAGAGCCTCCGGTCGGATCAGGAACAACCTTATTAAACCTAAAACCAGCTTTAAACGAGGGACAACTACGGGAAGCAGGAAGTGCTCAGATCTGTTCGAAGTAACGCCACGTCACACAAACGTCATTTTATAAGAAAAACGTCACAGACAGTAAATCAACACCTCACACACGTGCTACAAATGTGGAAATTATTCGCTGTCATTTCCTTTATTGTAGCGAAAAATGTAGTTTCAGTTTCGTTTTGTCATCCTGCGAACCACAGAGTCTGTATTCAGTATAATATAATATAAATATGATACAATTGTTTACACAAATTACAGACACAGAATTAAAAAACTCTGATCTCTGAATCTCAGGAAATAATCTGCTCACAATTCATCCAAATCTCTGGTTTTCTACAAACCTCCTGCAGTTACACTGTTCTCTGCTGTTATTATTATTATTGAATATCATTTCAAATATGCATAAAACATACTTTACTCACTGGAAGAAAGGACTCCATTAAGGGAAATATGTTGGCTGATACTGTGGGTTTGACTTTAGCAAAAGGTAGAACTGCTGCAGTTTAATATATACAAATGAAATAAAGGAAAGATCAAAACCAAGATAGATACAAGAGATACGAGATACAAACACAGCCGACAGGGAGCAGGATGAAGAGTCTATTAGGAAGAAAACATTCAAGACAAACTGATGAAAATACCTGGAAATAATGTGTGTTGTTGTATTTTAGCCCCTAACATCTGCATACAAACAGCCTGTTGTTTATGATCAGATTTTTCTTATTGTGGTCGAAAGTTGTTAATTATAACATGCAACACACACTTTCTACCTCTTCTTTTAATGAATCTATTCGGTTGGAACAGCGCTTCCCAGCTTTTTATCTTAAGGGCCCCTTTTTCTAAGTGACATATTTTATGTATATTTCATATTATATTAAAACTGAACAATGAACCCAAACAGTGAACTCAGTAACTAGAGGAAGTTTGTGTAAAACAATGAATATTAAACAGATTATTTCCTGTTTAGGGAACTATTTTGTACAATTGTCTGTCTGTAATATGTATTTTTGCTTTGCCACTGTTCTATTAGACAATTTACATTGACTTAACAGAAGTGAACCAAATGCTGAGAAATTGATATATACTTAAAATCAAGAAGGCCTTGCGACTCCCTGTGAAGCTTTGGCGACCCCTAGTGGGAAAAATAACATCTTCAAATGTTGTTTTATTTTCTGGTTTCCGAACCATCACGAGGCGCAGTCGGACAACATTTATCCAAAGTCTGACTGTTGGATTTAAACCAGAGTTATCATTACACACTTTTTATTTAAGTTATGTTAAATAAATAAGAAGATTTCGAGTCGGAGTACTGACTTTATTATACTGTGTGTGTGTTTCCTGTGTTACTGGTTTACCTCTCAGAAAGGATGAGTGATTTGGAGGAAGACGAGGACAGATCAGAGTCTTTGAGACCGACTCATGCGGTTTGTAGTACGTCTGTCTGGTCTAAAGGAAATCCTCCACCGGACAGTAATGAACCTGGACCCTCACACAGAAAGTAAGACACCATTTCTGCTGTAAACTGACCTGAAGATGATTCAGTTTCGGACTTTTCTGACTTTTATAATATAATTAGATTTAAATGCTGTAGATTTCAGAATGTGACTGGTATTTAATGGAGAGTGTGGTACAGTATGTTAGAAGTGCATTCAACTGCATTATTAACACATCATAAATCACCACCCTCCCACACTCCCATCGTTCCACAGCAGCCACACTGACGAGATTGCCTCCAGATGTGTGTTTATCGACCTCATAAGTGAGGGCCGACGGTGATTATTGTCCCGATTCATCGGTCTGTCCATTGTAAACATTGTACACTAGACTAATATCTAATATGTGTCCTGATCCTTAGTGTTTTTCTGCATTGATATAGGAATATAATGTCTAATAACATAACTTTTTGTAGCTATTATCAGATCAAGATTATGTGAATGTTAGTTCTGCTCTATTAGTATTAATAATATGAGTAAAACATCTGTTGTTTCCTCAGACAGGGAGCAGATCCTCCATTATCCAGGCGTGTGAAGAGCGAGACCTTTCCCCCACCCTTCAGTAATGAGCCTGGACCCTCAGACAAAAAGAGTCAGGAGAGACGGTTTCTACTGTAAGCTGACCTGATTCACTGTTCAATGGCCGATTTGATGTATTTTAACGTTTTCCTGTTCAGAGTTGAGGCAGAGCAGCCAGAGGATGTCAGAGGGAAAACAAGACAATATTCTCTCCGTAAAATATGATCCAGTTTATGGAAATAACAAAATGTCAAAATTGATTAATCTGTCGTTCAGATTAAAATATTTAATTATATTAACATAAAATGGTTTTCCAATCCGAGGCCTCATTCTAACATTTCTAATGTATCTGTCATGACAGACCTTCTGGTTCCCAAATCTCAGAGACTCAGTGTGAAGTCGTGGTCTCAGCTCTGAAGTCCAACCCCTCCCATCTGATAGAGCTGGACCTGAGTTACAACAAGCTGCAGGATTCAGGAGTGAAGACACTGTCTGCTGGACTGCAGAGTCCGAACTGTGGACTGGAGACTCTGAGGTCAGTTCACTGACTGTAAGCAAAAGTAGATAAATGAAATGATGGACAGGAGAGTTCTTCAGCCTCCACAGACTCGCATTGTGGTCCATCACTCAGTGAAGATGATATCAGTTCTGATGCAGTGATTGGGTTTTAGCATCGCGGTATTGAGGACCCGCCCAACTCAAGACAAGCAAGGCTCGGCTGTCAATCATGATATGATTTATAGCTTCAAATAACTTATTAAAACCAAACTGATAATAAGAATGAACACTTGATCAAACATCAGCGTCATAAGAACTACCTAAAATGCCAGAAATCATATTTGGGAAGAATTTACGTTGTTTGTGTACTTTGATGTTTTAGTTCTCTCTCATCTGGTAACATGAAGGCAGCAGGATTTATAACCTATACCAGTGATTCCCAACCTTTGTCCTTTATAATGACATCTACCTACTAAAATACCAAATACAGTAAGACAGCCATTTAATAAATAAAATAATGGACAGTTTTTTTAGCCCAACATGATGTGATATTTGATATTAATCCTTTTTGTCCTATGTTTATATTGTATATATTTTGATTGCACTGCTATTGGAGTTGGCTTTCTAATCTCATCGGACATGTGTACAATGACAATCAGCAGCATGCTGTTAATCAGTGTTGACATGAATTGGTGTATGAATGTTGTGCTGACATTGGGATGATGTCTGTAGAAGGCTGACATTATGATGATCCACAATAACACAATGACAAAGTCACTCTACTCATTTTAGAGAAAAGCTCATTGATTAGGACATAGTAATGTTGATCTCCACATTTAAAACCTGAACACATCTGATTGGATTATTAATGATTTTATCTTCATCTTTTATTCTTTATTCAGATTGAGTCACTGCAGTTTGTCAGAGATCAGCTGTGATTATCTGGTCTCAGCTCTGAAGTCCAACCCCTCCCATCTGAGAGAGCTGGACCTGAGTAACAACAACCTGCAGGATTCAGGAGTGAAGCTGCTGTGTGGTTTTCTGGAGAGTCCACACTGTAGACTGGAGACTCTGAGGTCAGTTCACTGATAAATATGATGTTAAAGTGTTGTGGCTGGTGGGAGTAAGGCCGCGAGGACTAGAACCCAAATGCAGGACGGAGTGGCTACGAGTTTGGTCAGAAAAGATTTACCAGCCTTTGAGAAAGCTTGAGTACCACAGACGAACTTTGTCTGAAAATACCCTGGTTATTCTTTCTTTGTCAAAGTTTGCTTTTTCCTGGTTGCCGCAGAGAAGTTTCTTGAACTTTTGACCCAGGTAAAGAGGCTTCGCTGGGCTACGCATACATCCATTTGATTTTGATGATTGGTAAATGGGTCACTACTCCCATCACCAGAAATCAGGAAACTGATGTTTCCGGTCCATGGCTTGCTCCCATCCTGCTGACTCATACTCTACTGTCAACTCCACTGCAGCCCTTATGTCTGCCTGAATCAGTCTTTGCTTCTCATCTGGATAACTATTCACTTACCGATGCGTTGGGAACATTCCCAGGCCTGCTTTCTAATGGGTCACTACTCCCAACAGAGCTCTGTGGTGCAGTCGTGACTGCACTTCCAGCGTAGCTTCCCTCTGCCTGGGCCACATTGCCGTCACTCGAGTCCCTGAACACCAGCACCTCTCTTGTCCGTTGAACTTCTCTTCCAAAAACTATACAGCCAAGCAGAGCTTCATGTTGTTCCTTAAAGGGTGATGTTACTGAGGCCAAGCATCTCCTGAGACAGCTGCTAACCTCCCCCTCCAAGGTCAATAATATTAATAATGTTTGTATTTTACAGTTTTCAACCTGCTGTTGGGTTCAGGTGTTTGGAGTTTCCATTTTCTAAACTTGTACATTCTAAACCTTCTTCAGCTCTGAACAGATTATTAAACACTGAATGATTTCAAGCAGGAACATTGTCTTCTAAACTTACATCTTTTATTCTTTATTCAGATTGTGGGGCTGCAGGTTGTCAAAGATCAGCTGTGATTATCTGGTCTCAGCTCTGAAGTCCAACCCCTCCCATCTGAGAGATCTGGACCTGAGTATAAACTACAACCTGCAGGATTCAGGAGTGAAGCTGCTGTGTGGTTTTCTGGAGAGTCCACACTGTAGACTGGAGACTCTGAGGTCAGTTCACTGATTAATATGATGTTAAAGTGTTGTGGCTGGTGGGAGTAAGGCCGCGAGGAATAGTACCGAAATGCAGACAGGAACACTGACAAAGTCACTCCACTCTTTTCAGGAAAAGCTCATTGATTAGTAAATTTTTTTTAGTAATAGTAATGTTGAACTACACATTTAAAACCTTAACAAATCTGATTGGAGTATAAATTGATTTTTATTTTAACATTTATTCTTTATTCAGATTGAGTGGCTGCAGGTTGTCAGAGATCAGCTGTGATTATCTGGTCTCAGCTCTGAAGTCCAACCCCTCCCATCTGAGAGAGCTGGACCTGAGGAACAACAAGCTGCAGGATTCAGGAGTGAAGCTGCTGTGTGGTTTTCTGGAGAGTCCACACTGTAGACTGGAGACTCTGAGGTCAGACACCATTTTTTCCTTCTGTGCTGAGATTAATATGACTGTCAATTGACTGTGGTGGAGCAATGTTGATCTACACATTTAAAACACTGGTGATGGCTGCCATGTCTCAATATCATAATATATATTTAATAAATAATCGCCGCCCAAGTTTTGACCTCCTTATCTAGAACACCTTATGATCGGATGCCAGTATTATTTTCTCCAGAAAGAGTTTACATTGGTCATTCTCACCACCATACATTTCACCACGTGCCAACCAAGCCCTGGACGAGCTGTATGGACTTATCAACGGGACTGAGACTTCACAGCTGAAGTCTGCTTTTCAGGTCCAACCAATTAGACTCTGCCCTGCGTCGCTGCTGCAGCACTGTGTGTTTCAACAATGATGATGTCGTACCGAGTATTACTGTATGATAATTCCTGAATCAGAAGCCCGGGGTTAATAGGGAAGTCCATGCCAAACATAAAGCATGGTTTGACGCCTAAAACTAATAGAGGAAATACAGTAGGTGTGTTTTGTTCCCATTTCCTCAAAATTCCTCCTGACACATTTGGCATCTTCGGAAACTTTGGGATCTCGAGTGGAATCTTAAATCAGTTTCAGATCAGATCAGCTGCATGCTACTGATCAGTGTTGACATGAATAGGTTTATAAATGTTGTGCTGACATGATGATCCACAATAACACAATGACAAAGTCACTCTACTCATTTTAGAGAAAAGCCCATTGATTAAGACATAGTAATGTTGATCTCCACATTTAAAACCAGAGCATGTCTAATTGTAGTATAAATACATTTTTATCAACATAATTTATTCTTTCTATTTAGATTGATTCGCTGCAGTTTGACAGAGATCAGCTGTGATTATCTGGTCTCAGCTCTGAAGTCCAACCCCTTCCATCTGAGAGAGCTGGACCTGAGCTACAACAATCTGCAGGATTCAGGAGTGAAGCTGCTGTGTGGTTTTCTGGAGAGTCCACACTGTAGACTGGAGACTCTGAGGTCAGACACCATTTTTTCCTTCTGTGCTGAGATGAATTTGATGTGAAAGTTGTGGTGACAGTAAAGTGCAGACATAAGGCTGATATTATACTGATCCACACTGAGTATCTTTGGGGGACAGGCTGCACCTCCCTCCCTCGGAGAGCTCCCACTGGAGCACGCTGAAGGGTATCTCAGGGCTGGAGAGCCAGTGTAAAGGGCTTTGGGTCAAGCTTATAGGCTGAGATCTCTGCCTGGGCCCGGTGAAACATACTGGAGTTTATGTGATTTGGGTTAGGCTCAGGCATGCTAAGGCCCTGGGTGTGGAGAGCCTGATGGAGGTATCTCATTGATTTAGAAAAACAGAACAGAATTATTTTTTCATGAAACCCTATCTCTGAGATAAATGACTGAATACTGTGAAGTGAAGCTGATTCGTTTTTATGACTCCACTATTCATAAAATAAATATTATAGATGTATTTTTTTCACATTTCCCCAAAATTCATCCTGACATATTTGGGATTTTTAGAAACATCTTGATGAGAGCTCTTTTTCACTCTTTGTATTTTACAGTTTGCAACCTGCATCCTGTTGGAGTTTCCATTTTCTAAACTTGTTCATTCTAAACCTTCTTCAGCTCTGAACAGATTATTAAACACTGAATGATTTCAAGCAGGAACATTGTCTTCTAAACTCACATCTTTTATTCTTTATTCAGTTTGAAGTACTGCAGGTTGTCAGAGATCAGCTGTGATTATCTGGTCTCAGCTCTGAAGTCCAACCCCTCCCATCTGAGAGAGCTGGAGCTGAGTCACAACAACAAGCTGCAGGATTCAGGAGTAGAGGTGTTGTCTGATTTTCTGGAGAGTCCACACTGTAGACTGGAGACTCTGAGGTCAGTTCACTGATTAATATGATGTTAAAGTGTTGTGGCTGGTGGGAGTAAGGCCGCGAGGAATAGGACCCAAATGCAGACAGGAATATAATTAGCAATGGAACCCACAGTGTACGTATTGTACATCCATATGGTTGTAAACTCCCTTTTCCCTTAAATTATTATTATTATTATTATTATTATTATATTATTATTTTCATGTTTGTTGAACTAAATTTAGTCTGCAGTCACACAGACTTCTGTATGTTAAAGGAATTGTAGAAAATGCCCACTGTTAGTTGTTAAAGTAAATTAATGTTGTTTCCACTTATTAAGTTAATTTGACCTGCTAAATTAGAAATACTAGTGCAGTGCCCGTAGGAAGTATGTATTGCTATAGAAAATGGGAGGTAGTAGCTTTTTCATGGATGGCCAAATGAGGTTGTGTTTGAAGGTGGGACGTCAGGGACATTTAGGTTTGTTGTGAAATGTGTAGATTGATAACTATTGTGTTTTCATATAATTTGGCTTTTAGCAAGGACACTGTAGGGAGTTGAACCCCATTCCACTAATGTGAAAGTACCACACCTCATGGTCAGAGCATATAAATTCTGAAAGAACAAAGTGAACTACATCTGAAATGGGATGAAACCTGGCGGCATAAACAGACTAACTTGTGGCATAGCCTACTAAATGAACTGGGCAGGACATATTATTTAGCCCTGTAATATAGGCTAGCATACATCAGAGAGAGAGAGAGAGAGAGAGAGAGAGAGAGAGAGAGAGAGAGCAATGGCAGTAAGGGTTTCCACATCAAAAAAATGTTTTGAAACTACCAAAATGATGAGGATACAAAATGAGTAGTGGAAGTGTGAAGAAGCAGAGAGTGGGGACAGGGACAGTAGCCCTATTCACACTGCCGTCTGCATGCAGGGATCCAGCGCCAATTCTCCGCACCCTCCTCCTGATTCTGTGTGAAAGTTTCAGATGCGGCGAGGGGGGAAATGTCACTCCGGCCCTGATCCTCCTCTGGAGGTAGTGTCAGGGACGCAGGAGCGAGGGCGTGTCGGTCAGACAGTCTGATAACTGCACAGGTCTCTCACTCAACTTAATAAAGAGAAATGTCCCACAAAGCAACGTTACAGGACCAAACAACAGTAACGTAGTAACTGTAACTGTCTTTGGAAAAATACCACAGCTGTATGTGGAGAAGCGTCTGTCCTCCTGTCTGTCCTCCCGCCTGTCCTACCGACTCTTCGTCACATTTCTGCCCGAAAAACAGCGTCTGTCACCGGCGAAAAACTCGTGGAGTGTTTGTGATCAAAAATCACCGCGACCGCCAGCCCTCCGGACCGAGACATCAGTTTACTTTCCACCGGAAAACATTCTCCGTCTTGCGGGTGAGGGAGTCAGACAGCGTCCAGTTTACTGCTGGTGATTATGTAGAATTATGTAATTTAGAGTGAAAAACGTTTGTCACTTTCCAGGATGTTTGGTGGGTCAGGATCTCAATCACTACACATTAGGGCTCTGCAGTGATTGGCTCTGGTGCGCACGTGGCTACGGTTGCTATGGTTGACAATGCTAGCGGAATTCGTAAATCATTTATGAAATAATTTATTAACGGTATCTTTGTAGTCCAAACAAAGCCGACGTTGCACACCCTTAAACCACACAGCAGCCATGTTGGAACTCTCAGGTCAGTCTGATCCTGATCTGCAGAGATATTTGAGGCACACACACACACACACACACACACACACACACACACACAGACAGACAGAGATTTCTTGATTTTATAGAGAGATATATTTGGTTTCCTTTAAAGGGTTGTTTGACTTTTTTCTTACTTGCAAAACAAAAAATAAAGAACAGACTGGTCGTGTATTCTCCGCAGAGCAGAGAGACACTTTTGTGATGCTTCTGAAACTTCTGGATCACAAGCAGCCATGTGGCAAAATTGTTGTCTCCATTAGACACTTTGACACAAAAACAAGGGAAAATGAGGTCCAGGTAAAAAAAAGTTACCCTTTAATGTCAATGTGTTGGCACAAATAATGTCTGATCATTACCACATAATTAATTCTTTATTCAGATTGTGGGGCTGCAGTCTGTCAAAGATCGGCTGTGATTATCTGGTCTCAGCTCTGAAGTCCAACCCCTCCCATCTGAAAGTGCTGGACCTGAGTTACAACAAGCTGCAGGATTCAGGAGTGAAGCTGCTGTGTGGTTTTCTGGAGAGTCCACACTGTAGACTGGAGACTCTGAGGTCAGACAGCAGTGTTTTGTTCTGTAAATGAATATGACATCAATATTGTGCTGACACAAAGTCAAGCACAAATGACTAATTTACAGATGACCCCAAAATATATTACTCTATTATTTTTTACCAGGATTGGTCCCTGTGGCCTGTCAGAGATCAGCTGTGATTATCTGGTCTCAGCTCTGAAGTCCAACCCCTCCCATCTGAGAGAGCTGGACCTGAGTGTCAACAATCTGCAGGATTCAGGAGTGAAGCTGCTGTGTGGTTTTCTGGAGAGTCCACACTGTAGACTGGAGACTCTGAGGTCAGTAGAGGGTTGGAGTCAGTCCATGCTGGTTCCAGCAGTATTTATATGAAGCAGCAACCACTATGGCTACAAATGAAGCCCAATATGGAAGTAATAAAACATCACAACATCTCCTCACAAACCTGTGGGGGACGTCACGGAGATGACACCCATTTTTAATTGTACAGTGTATGTATTATAGTAAAATCTACTCTGTAGTGCAGCAACAAGGAACCCGAACATTTGATCGGTTAGTGTCAGCACTTTGAAGCTTGCCAAAGAACAAACAACTATTTTTAATTTGATCCATAACTTTTGGGATTGTTTTTGTCCCTACAGGATTAGCGGCAAGTTGATAATAACTGAGAAACGCAAAAAATGTGAGTATTGATACGATTTCCCCCATTCATCAAACTATTGTACATTCAAATCTGATCTTTTTGTTAGAGCTTTAAATACAAACATCCGTTGGGAAAGTAGAATTCTGGCTACTAATTATTCTCACCTCATTCAAGTTTCCCGTTCTTTCTCTTTCACTTTCTTCTCTCCATCAGATGACTCTGACGACAAACTGGTCATGAAAAAGAAGCTCCACCTCGCCGCCGATAAGAAAAAGGTGAGAAAGGAGCACTTGTACAGTGTACAGTGTGGGTCTCTCTCTCTGTGGGTCTTGAAGATTATATTTGTAGTTTGTCATTATTGCATGGAAGGAATCACACCCACACTTTCTTATATACTATACATGTATTCCATATATTCAGTGCCACTGCTTTACGTTGCATCAAACAAATAACAAAATCTAACTTTACTAGCTGCTAGCTCCTTACATGCTCATTACTTATTTGAAGAGTTGGGTGTCTGACATTTATCTACAATGACACACAGTATCGACTGGTTGACTTTTCTGTGAAACCCTAAATTCATTATATATAACAGGATCTCCTACATGCAGATTGTTTTCATACATTTATTGAGACTCATTTTCTTAGAAATATTCAGTTGCTACTGTATTGTACTGTACTGTATAGTATTTCAATTCATTTCCTTTATAGAACACTACAACAAGTTGTCATTTTTATTTAAATAACTAACTTGGGCATTTCTTGATTGCAGGCTCCACTGTTCTTCTCACCTGAACAGACATTTGAATCTTCATACAGGTAATCATATGAAATGATGGTTCATCAAGTTGTGATTCTGTCACTGCAAGTGGGTGAAAGACAGCAGGGGAAGGACTCAAATGCAGACAAAGAAGCACATTATACCATCAACATTTATACGCGGTCCCCATGCGTCCTGGAAAACATTTTTATGATATTGAGAATATTTAGAGACTAGTTTTCCAGTCATGGATCTGCTCAGCTCTCTGCGTGTCAGTAAGCGGATTCGGCACATGTGACTCACAGGACAATAAATACTTGTCATATTTACTTGTCCCGTATGTGTCATTAAGGTTCAGGTGTCCTGGTCCAGGTGTGTTCCAGTGTATTTTTACTGGACTGGTGTTTGTTATGGCTCAGGAGGCGGAGCTGCTGTACAGGACTGTCCAATGGGATGATATCCTCCTCCAAACAGCTGGCAAGATGGCTGCAGGGCCGCTGTTCGAAATCCAGTGTTCTGAGGATGGTGCTGTCTCTCAGCTCCGCTTTCCACACTGTGAAACAAAGGATGGTGCTGTTTTTTCCAAGATTTGAATTAAAGGTCCAGTGTGTAACTTTTAGGAGGATCTATTGGGAGAAATTGAATATAATGTTCATAGGTTTGTTTTCATTAGTATATAATCACCTGAAAATAAGAATCGTTGTGTTTTTGTTACCTTAGAATGAACTTATTTTATCTTCAGAGGAACAGGTCACCCTCCATTGAGTGCGCCATGCTTCTACTGTAGCCCAGAACAGACAAACCAAACACCTGCTGTAGCTAGGACATTTTAGCGAGTTTCCGAAAATACAGACATGAGCAGTTTTCAGTTATACTACACACTGGGCCTTTAATGTGTAGTACTTTGTTAAAACCACAATAGATATATTTTAACTATCTGAACTCAAGTGGTAAGACATAAATGTATGTAGAGACTAATTAGCTCTTTGCTCTCGCAGCGTTGCTCTTGGAAGGCGCGTTGTCTGTCGTACACATCACGGATGATGGAATGAGCATCTTGGAGCCGCTGCAGATTACGAATACTCATGTGGCTGCGGAGGTCCTTCACCTCTCTGGATATGGCCTGATCTGGGATATTGTTAAAAGGTTTCTGAACACCACACTGCCAATAAATGGCCAAGTGCTGCTGTTCCTCCGACCTCCAGATTTAAGACATTGTGTACTCGATGTGCTTCTGCTGCCGGGAAACATCCTTCGGTGTGAGGTAAAGCGATCTTTGTATTTATCATCAGCCAAACTCATGTTTTAACCAGTTTCCATAAAGCTAATTAAGGTTAGACACACTTCTATCAAACCTTCTAGTGTTGTGGTTAGAATCAAAATCAATCTGAACAATGCAAATGTTGAGGGAGAATATTGATCTTAATGAGACTGATTGAACCAATCTAGGACAGTGAGGACAGGTGTATGCCATCGTAATGAATTTGACCATCAAACCCACAGTCCAAAACATTGTACAATGTAGAAGATCTTTTAGTGTCAGTTACACTGATAAGGCAATCAGAGGTACAGTCCAGTACCAATCCAAAACAGAGAAAAACCTGATGAAAAATGTATATTCTTTATCTAAGGGAGGCAGTACCTTGAGACATCATACAAATTCAAGTCATTAAGAAATTCACACAGTTTTATTTTATTTTCGGACAATAAAGCTGGAGGGAGACATCAATATTTGGGTTAGTTAAAATCCAGGTATGATCAAGCACTTGAACTATTAAATAGTTTGAACCTCACTATATCAGATCTTCCTCTTCCATGGACATCTTCAAAACTTGTCTCAAGACCCATCTCTTTTCCTCAGCCTTTTAATAGTCATAATGAAGACTTGACCGGCCACAATCTGTTTTTTTATTTTTTTCTCTGTGCATTGCTGTGGTGTCTGGGAGATTTTACCCAGAATGATTTATTCTACTCTTTTATTAATTTACTTATATGCTCTTGATTATGTTTTTATTTCATTGTAATTCTCATCTGTCTGTAAAGCACTTTCATCATTAGTTGTTTTTAAATGCGCTCTATAATTAAGATTGACTTGACTATCTGAGCATTAACTCCATAATAAAGATGTCTTGTTGCTGAAGGTTGTTGCCCAACAAGAAGATGCTAAGTACATCAAGATCTCCTCGAACTGCCTTCTCAACGTTGGTCACAGTTACAGTGTCCACTGTGAACCAGAAGGCTTTTTAATACAGCCTGAGGTGAGTCAAATTACTTCTATACAGCAGCGTATCGCTGCCACGCCAGCAAAAGAAAATGCGATCAGTATAACGTTATAACATAAAAAGTATATTGTTATATCAAGATGTTTTCCTTGTTATATCGAGATATTTTCATGGCATTACAACATACAAACTTACCATGTTCTAACAAGAACTGTGTGCCTCTGCAGCTAATCAATGAGAAACTAGAGGGTTGGACTCATTCCTCCTTCTGTAAAGCCCCATGCATTTTCAAATCTTTCTTAGAGTATGCATACTTACACTATCCACCATGATCAATAACAACAAAATCTCATAATGTCCCAATCTAAGCAGGAAGTAATCAAATCATGTAATGAACCATATTCCTCAATTTGTCTGTTCTCAGCAGTTTCCTCATTCAAACACGAGTTTCATATTCTCACAATTTATACAAAGTTATCGAGTTGTTATAACATGATACGTTTGTAACATGAAAATATCTTGTTATAATGTAAGAAACATCTGATATAACAATATACTTTCAATGTAATAACGTGATACAGACCTGTTTTTCTTTTTCTGGTGTGGCAGCAAAATACTTCCATACTTGAATACGTATAATGGTTATAAATGGAATAATCATGACTACAATGGTTGCTGTATATTGAAAACATATTCACAATTAGGAGAGTACTAGATTCACATTTTTACAACAGGTCTGACAATGAAGCTTGGTTTCTGTTTTCAGTCTTACCAGTTTCAATCAAAGATCGACAAAAATTATCATACAACATTTGAGGTTTTCCTGACTACGAATACAGAGAGAGTGATGTTGATGGTCCAGGACCAAGAGGGGAGACAAGTCTGGAAACGTACTGTGCATCTGACAGGTAAAGGCTTCACCCTCCTGCACTGCACCTTTAGTTTAGTGAATGGAATGCAAATGTGCATCTCTTTGCTCTCTGGAGAAAATGTGAAGGTCCCTGAATGTACATTTCCTTTTTTTCATCTATATATAAATGAAAAAAGTTATTCACAAACTATGGCTATGTCAGATCCCACATACAGCGACACATTAATGATTGATTACAGCTGTATCTGACTGCTTTCAAGACACGTTGAACAACTGTCTCCTTTTTCACTGTTAATGCTGATTGGTAGTCGAGTGGTTAAAGTTCAGGCCCAAGCTGATGCACTCGAACTGCAGGGTTAGTGGTTTGACCCCTGGTGCTGGAAAACTTTAAGAAAAATGTGTCCATCTATCTGAGCCAGTTTCTTCTTCTCACTTTTATCTGACTTTTAAACACCCTACAGCAACTACCACTAGGCCTCATGCAAGAACATTTTCCTACTCTTATCTGAACTTTCTCTAAATTTTTTCGTATAGTCGCTCGTACGAGTGTGCCACGTCATTTGTTTGTAAATCACCTGCGTAAGAATGATGAATGCCACCCATGCTCGGAGACTGCAGTCCAGGTCTCAGAGATCATTTTAGTAGAAGCGGGAAAAAATAACAAGTGTTGTTAACACACTGTCACCTGGGAGTCGTACTGCTGCTGAAATCAAGACGAAGTGGTTTCCATCACGGAGATAGAGGAAAGAATACTTGCTATAATAGGTGATGTTGCGTTGTCAGGCATTGTTCCCCTGGACAGCGACCTGCATACACCTTAATGTGAAGAGAACCCTAACCCCATCAATAGCAGAAATTTGTGGAATGCCGCAAGTTTTCCTGAGTACGAGTGGTTCTTGCATGAGGCCCATTGTGTTCAGTGGTGCAGTGGTTACAGTGATGATTACATCAGATTTTTTTTCTCAAAAGAGAACACAAGAATGGTGTAACAGACAAAAACATGACATTTCATTTTGTTATTTTTTAAGAGATCTCTGTTTTAAAGTGATTGTTGGTCAACAAAAAGGCTTTTCTTCCAGGTTATTTTCCAGATTCAAGAAGGGGAAGTCTTCCAGAAAAAGTCGAGGAGAACGTCCAAGTAGAAGACAGCGTCCCAGCACAGGAGAGGCTGCTCTCAGTTCGGACGGAGTTTATAAACAGGGTGTCTGACCCTGCTCTGAACCAGCTTCTGGATAAACTCCTTCATCGTGGCATTATAAATGACGAGGAAATGCAATCAGCCAGAATAAAAGTCCAAGCAGAAAAAGCTCGAGACATAATCGACACGGTGCGAAAAAAGGGAACCAGAGCCAGTTCAGTCCTGATCGCCGCTCTCTGTGAGGTGGATCCATGCATTTCCACCGAGCTGAACCTAAGCTGAAACAAAACCAGCAAACAGTCACATGACTTATTGTAATCTTTAAACAAGAAGTTTTGTTGTTAAAGCCTATGTTTTTAAGAACTGGACTCTCACTCTGAAAGGGAAAAAACAACAATGGTTTGCCAAAATTAGAAAAGGTTTTCTTTGCATTTTATAAAAGTTCCACATTCATATGAACACATTCTGAAAACATTCCTTGTGCACACGGATCCGCAACAACAGCGTTGCAGTATCCCTGCCAGACCTGTGGGTGGCGGTGTAACTTTGTCCAAAACGGTCTTTAGTTGGCCTCCATTGACGCAGAGGTGGATTGATTATTGGATGTAATTATCTCTGCTGATCACAGTAATGGTGCTGGAGGAGCATTAGGTCAGACAGCAGGTCTAGACTGGGACTGAGTGCAGCATCTGATGCTGACTGAGGACAGTTTGACTAAAGGGAATAAAGTACTGAGGTGGTTTTATTGCTGTTTTGGCTGGCAGTCAGCTAATGTTAGCTGCTAACTAGCTAACAGCATCTAGCATTAATGTTGGCGACAGTTAGCTTCTTTTAGCAACACATCCAATCTTCGCTCTGTGTCCCTAAAAGGTGAAGATTGATTGACAGGTGAATTTCCTGATATTATTGGTTGAAATCAGTTCATGCTGACGTAAAAATTTGTCACATTTTGTTTTACAGGAAGACACAATGATTGGATTTATGTGACAAACACAAAGAAATTGAGTTTTTGTGTCATACATTGTTTAATAGTGAAACAACATAATTGCAGACGCAATCTTAGGGCTTAAAAATTCCTTTTTCATTTCAATAAACTCAGCAGAGCCTGCAGCACAAACACGGGGCTATTGAAGTGCAGCCCTGTCACCATTTTCATAGCAGAAGTGTTTTGGTGGTTTACATGTCGATGGTAATAGTGGTGTTTCCAAAAGATTGCACCCTGGAACCCAGTTTAAAACATTTGTGTTTTCAGGCCCTATAACAGTGTTGTGTGAACGGAAGGCAAAACCGCAACAAAACTTTACCGTTTTGTGAAAATCTGTTGCAAACAGGTCTAAAACTGACAGATGTTATACAATACAAACATTGGAATTAAAGAGATTTTAAATCCAACGAGAACCAAGCAGGTTATAATCTTAAGGTTTTTGATAAAAGCTTCAACAGGAGTGATTTTTCTCCAAATACCACGAGAATGATGACCTTCGCGTTACACAGACTTTTGAGAGACCTTGACTTTTGAGAAGGTACGTTCTTTTGTTCATGGCTGTGTAAATATTAATTGTTAAGTGTTGAATCTCAACAAAGTCAGAAAAAGGTCATTGGAATCAGGAAAAGACAGAATTGAAACCGCTCTTTCCAATGACTTGTAATGCATGCAACGGTGCCACCTCTGAAATTTGCTGAATACAGTTAAAAGTTCACACTCAGGAAGCTCTGTGGCTCATCATACGGGTCCTTACAGTCGCACACAGACCTCAGTCAGACCACTTTCTGTGTTTAAACTATGTAATAAAATGGTGTTTCAACAATGGCTGTCATATTTTCCTCATACCTGTTTGAGTATGTAGACAGCTGAATATTCCCTCCAGATCGTGACACTGTGTACATCAATGCAGTGGTTCCCAACCTTTTTCCTTCAGGGACTCATATAAATCAACTCAATAACTGCAAGACATTTGTGTAAAATGAGAGATTTGGATGTGTTTTGAGCAGATTATTTCCTGTTTAGGGAACCTTTTGTACAATTCATGGTCTGTATTATGTTTTTTTTTTTTTTTTATTGTTTAATAGTCTGTGTTTTCTTCTCTCTGACACTTCTTCACAGAAGTGAACAAAATTCTGAAATGTAGGCCTACTGTGTATATTTTCTAATGTTTTCTTACATGCCTTAAAAATCAAGGTGGGGGTGAACCACTGCATTAATGTGTTGCTGTAACATGTATATTATTAACAGTTTGCCTCGATTTGTGATGTGATTTGGATGAATTTTGAGCAGATTATTTTGATATTTTTTGTAATCTTTTATACAATTTGTCTTTATATGTATATTTTTTTAACAATTATACAGACTTCATAGGCTTTTAAAAAAATAAATAAAAAAGTCTCCCTGATCTGTTGCCATTGTTCTGTTAGGTTATAGTTTGTGTTCCTGACTTCACGCGGCCTTTATCCTGTCAGATATATTTAAGTTTTGTTTTTTACACTGCTTAAAATTAAGAAGACGTAACGACCGCCAGTTAAACTCAGTGTTGCCAACTGTTTTTGTGTTTCATGGTTTGTAAAAGAAAATGTTTAACCTTAATAGTTGTTGTTAACATGATTTGAAGACAAAGATGAGATAACGTACCAACATTTTGAATGAATTATATTACTAATATAAAGTAGAATTACCAGATTAAAAGAAAAGAGGTATGTATTTTATATGTATTTTCCATATAAATATTTATAGAAATTGCAAGAAGCATTCAAATGTGATTAAATGAGGTGTTTCTTACTTGTGCAGTGTAGTACTAGGATTTGGCATTGATTTTGAGTGATTGGGTCACATACTGAAAAAAATAAAAACATTTTCCCATATAAATATTGATATAAAAATAAAAGAAGCGTTTAAAGTGGATTAAAAAAAGAGGTGTGTCCATGTTGTGGAGAGTAGTAACATACTGTAATTCGGCACTGATTTGGAGTGCCTGGGACACAAGACATGGAAACTATTAAAAACATTCCAGACTTTCCTGTATGAATATTAATATAAACTACAAGAAGCATTGGAACTGGATTAAACATGTGTGTCCTTGTTGTGCAGTGTGGATATATAATTCAGCATTTAGTTACAGTCCCTGGGTCACATGACACAGAAGGGACTAAAAATAGACTTTCTTCAGTAATTTACTGACGGTAAATGAAACCGTGCGCATAAGAGCGACCCGCCCTCTGCCAAAGCTGGGTGACACCGAACCGAAAAAGTAGCTGGATGTGGAGTGAATATGTGCCCAATATCCAACTGAACATGGTTACACTGACCATGTGATCCAGGTTCAAGGGTTACTGGGAGGGTTGAGACAGTCGGCAGGGCGGGAGAAGGATGCAGAAGGGGGAGGAAGGGTGAGTGTTAATACAAACTTTTTATTATGTTACTGTCAGAGACTCGGTGTTCTCCCTGTGGACAGTCACTGGTTCATAGTATATCACTCTGTTTTGACGACATCGCCGCTAACAGTCCAGAATCCCGCTGTTATATCCCTGGTTGCCGTTACGCGTGCGCACGTTGTCAGCGCGCACTGACTGAGACAGGAAATGTTGTTTTCTGATGTGAAGTTGATGGTTAAGGATTGTGCAGATACACTTTAAGGTGGATTTAAACTTTATTAAAGTGAATTAGTGATAAATCTCCCTCATGTACGTCCACAGTAGCCCACGTTTATGCGTAATCCATGACTACAAATAGCATGTTGTTTAAGAGACCCCCCAAAATTGTACAAATCATGTTTTCAGGGGTCTTATTAAGAGCAGCCCAGCTCCCTCTGGCTCCCCTGTAGCTCGCACCCTGGTTTGGGGTTAGTATAAATGAAAAGTGTCCTGAGATAACTTCTGTTATGAATTGGCGCTATACAAATAAAATTGAATTGAATTGAATTGAATTATAAAACTACTGGTTACCTCGGGCTTGTCTTAGAAAATACAAAAACATGTTTATCAAAGTTTGTTCTCTAGGCTATGGTCACAGTGATCACCATATTACTAACACTACACATTATGAAAAAGAAATACTTTAAAACACTGACTATGTAAATTAGACAATACTGTCCAAATACACTGAATAAATAAAAAACACTGAGCCACAAGAGGAAGAGAATACAGGAGGTCATATTCTAACCGGGAAGCAATGGACTTCAGAGTCATTATTCTGCTTTCTTTTGTGTATATTGTTTTAGGGCTGCACAAGGGATGGAAATATTATCAAAATCACAATATATCGTATAGTAAAATACAGATGCACCCTCACAAAACTCATTTTCTATTTAAGTCAATTCAGTGCCGTGTTAATAAGAGCTTCACTTCAACTGAACCAGGCATGGTGTGTCATTTTCCAACACAGCAAAGTTGTATTTAAACTCTTCAGTGACTTTATTGCACTTCAGTAATATATTTGTGAATGTGTGACTAATCTGCTGACTAAAGCTGGTCACTGAACACAACATCCGCACACATACGACACCCTGTTAGTTTGAAAACCAGTTGGGAATATAGCACCAGCCAAATGGAACACTTTTCTTTTTTAAATGGCCGTATAAGGGCCTACAGTTAAACAGCATTGAAACACACCAGCAATATGACCTAAATGCAGAGAGGAAAGAAAAAGACCAGATCCCAGTATGTTGTATGTATGAGTATGATTGTGTGGGAAAATGTGGGACATGTTAGCAATGCTGAAGGACTGGAAAATATTTTATTAGGAAGAGCGACTGTAGCTTTTCAACTTTCCCATCTCCCACACTAAGTAAATACAGTATAAAAGGATGTTTCACAGTTCGTATGGTCTCATGTGATAGTCACCTTCCACAGTGATTGGACTTTTATAAAGTAAAGCCAGTTTAAATGTGGCAGTTTGTCATTTTTAACGCTTTGTCTCCACTACAGAAACATTAGCTAACTGCTAAAGTCTGATAAGGTTGTCTGACATTGAGTTCCCGTAGTTATTAGTTTGATTAGTGCTTTAATAATGGGTGTATTGATTGTGGATGCTGGTTGATCAGGAGGTTTCTAACTGCAGTAAATGGTTGTTCTTTGAGCCTGTTTTTAAAATACTGTCCTAATTAAACATGATGTGCTTGTTATTAATGCTGTTATTAATGACTCCTGATGAAACATTCTTCAGTTTCTGATCAGTCGTGTAAAGTAACCACAACAACTTCAAGAACCAACCAAAAGCTGGAGTTCTGACTGGTTTTGACTTTGATTATTGTGATCTGAGCTCACGGTCTGTGTTACTGTATTATCTTTCAGACTGACTTCAGACCAGAAGATGAGCGTTTGTGTGGAGAAAGAGGAGGATGGAGCAGAGTCTCCAGTGTCCAGCTGTCTGTCTATGATGAGTGACCACTCTAAAGATGAATCTCCATTCTTCAGTAATGAACCTGGACCCTCAGACACACCGTAAGACAACTGATACTGATGTCTGATGCCGATATTTAGAGACCTGGGCTGCCAGTGGCCAATATGATATGATATATAATGCCAATATCAAAAGCAAGAAAATCAATGTACAATTCTATTCTACTCTATTCCATAACAGCCACTCTGACAAGGCTGCCTGTCTATCACTATCCCTATCAATGTCATGTTTTTAATGTAATGGCGAACTAAAAATCTGTGACTAAGAGAAATCATTAGTGCCATCATCTTCCTGTCAGTATCTGTAACAGGTGTCAATCACACAGAAAAGCTGTAATCTAAGAATGCCTGTAAACCTCTAATTATCAACAGTAGCAGCAGTTTGTGTATAGAGATTCCTAAAAGAATGTTTCATCAAAGAATATATTCAGGATTCAAGTGATATGAATAAAAACATGTTGGTGTTTGCAGAGTTCAGTCCAACAGAGAGAGAGAGCAGGGTCTCCAGTGTCCAGCTGTATGAAGAGTGACAGGTCCATAGGTCTTCCTCCAACCTTCAGTCCTGGACCTGGACCCTCAGACACAAAATGAGAGACTGTTTCTGCTGTAAACCAATAATAAAATGCTAAAAGATTTTTAAATATATATATTTGCAACATAATTACCTACATTCATTCATTCAGTAAGTCATTCAGCTCACTAAATGTTTCAATAAGACAAACAGTAAAAGCAGGTAATTTGTGTTAATGAAAGCAGGAGAGTTTTTAATTTACCAAATACATAAAAGGAACAATTATTGCAGACGGCTGGAGTCAAACGAAAAAGTAACAACACTTCTTGTGTCCTGAGATAACTTTTGTTATGAATTGGTGCTATACAAATAAAAACTGAATTGAATTGAATTGAATTCGACTGTTCTCTGTGGGCATTCGGATCATTTTAGTTCTGACGAAATGTCTCCACAGAGAGAGGAAGAGGAGTCATGTTTCTGTGGAGGAGCAGCTGTCCTGCTGTGTTTTGTGTCAGGACGTCCTGAAGGATCCAGTCTCTACCAGCTGTGGACACTGGTTCTGCAGACAGTGCATCACCTCATACTGGGACCAGTCTGCTTCATCAGGAGACTCCACCTGTCCCCAGTGTGGAGAAAGATCCAGAACAAGAGCTGGACTGCAGACAACCAGTCAGACCAGCACTGTACAAAGTAAGACTGAACATCTGTCTGCTGATGTCCTCATGTCTGAAAACAGGACTTTATAATCTATTACAGGGACATTTGTTGTGTTATGCAGTGAATTTAATATTATCATGAATATCATAAATTCAGAAACATTTTTATTGATCCGGATTCTGGTTCTCATTTTAGTCTCAGAATATGTTTCTTCTCTTTCAGCAGATAGTGGTCTGCAGGAGGTTTTAGATGAACATAAGATCAGTCTGAAGACGAGATGTGAACATGTGACTGAAGGAACTGATGAACCAGGAAGTGGAACCCTCCTCAACAGGATCTACATTGAGCTCTACATCACAGAGGGACAGAGTGAAGAGGTTAATACCCAACATGAGGTGAGGCAGCTTGAGACAGCTTCCAAGATGGAGACCCTCCATGACACTCCAATCAAGTGCCACGAGATCTTTAAAGCCTTACCTGACCAACAGAGACACATCAGAGTGGTTCTGACGAACGGCGTCGCTGGCGTTGGAAAAACCTTCTCAGTGCAGAAGTTCACTCTGGACTGGGCAGAGGGCTTGGAAAACCAAGATGTCAGTCTGGTGGTTCTGCTTTCATTCAGGGAGCTGAACCTGATCAAAGATGAGCAGTACAGTCTTCTCACACTGCTCCATGTTTTCCATCCAACATTACAGAAGGTCACAGCAGAGCAGCTCGCTGTCTGTAAACTTTTGTTCATCTTTGACGGCCTGGATGAAAGCAGACTTTCACTGGATTTCCACAACAATGAGGTTGTGTCTGACGTCACACAGAAGTCTTCAGTCAACGTGCTGTTGACAAACCTCATCAAGGGGAATCTGCTTCCCTCGGCTCTCGTCTGGATAACTTCCAGACCTGCAGCAGCCAATCAGATCCCTCCTGAATGTGTCGACAGGGTTACAGAAGTACGAGGCTTCACTGACGCCCAGAAGGAGGAGTACTTCAGGAGGAGAGTCAGTGATGAAGATCTGTCCAACAGAATCATCTCACACATCAAGACCTCCAGGAGCCTCCACATCATGTGTCTAATCCCAGTCTTCTGCTGGATCACTGCTACAGTTCTGGACCACATGTTGACTACAGACCAGAACGGAGAGCTGCCCAAGACCCTGACTGACATGTACTCACTCTTCCTGCTGGTTCAGACAAAGAGGAAGAAGCAGAAGTATGATGAGGGACATAAGAAGAGTCCACAGGAGCTGATGGAGGCTGACAGGGAAGTTCTTCGGAAGCTGGGGAGGCTGGCGTTTGAACAGCTGGAGAAAGGAAACATCATGTTCTACCAAGAAGACCTGGAGCAGTGTGGTCTTGATGTCACAGAGGCCTCAGTCTACTCAGGAGTTTGTACAGAGATCTTCAAAAGAGAGAGTGTGATCTTCCAGAAAACAGTCTACTGCTTTGTTCATCTGAGCATTCAGGAGTTTCTGGCTGCAGTCTACACGTTCCACTGTTACACCAACAGGAACACAGAGGTACTGGAGGACTTCCTAGGAAAAAACTGGGGATACAAAAACACTGACTCATCTTTTGATAGTGATTCATCCCTGGATGAAGATGAGTCCTGTAATTATGATGATGACACTGACTTAGCCTTGGATGTCTTCCTCAAGATGGTCATAGCCAAATCCCTTAAAAGTAAAAATGGCCACCTGGACCTGTTTGTTCGTTTCCTTCATGGCCTCTCTCTGGAGTCCAACCAGAGACTCTTAGGAGGCCTGCTGGGTCAGACAGACAACAGTCCAGAAATCATCCAGAGAGTCATCAACAACCTGAAGGAAACAGACATGTATAAGATCTCTCCTGACAGAAGCATCAACATCTTCCACTGTCTGACGGAGATGAACGACCACTCAGTCCATCAGGAGATCCAAGAGTTCCTGAAGTCAGAGAACAGATCAGAGAAGAAACTCTCTGTGATCCACTGCTCAGCTCTGGCCTACATGCTGCAGATGTCAGAGGAGGTTCTGGATGAGTTGAACCTGCAGAAGTACAACACATCAACCCAGGGACGACTGAGACTGATTCCAGCTGTGAGGAACTGCAGGAAGGCTCTGTAAGTGCAGATGTGATTAACGTTAGCACCTGATTATTACTATTTGAAAATTGCTGTATTTTATAATAATAAGAAGAAGAAGAAGAAAAAGAAACAGTAAACAGTTGTCCTTCACAGTCATACCAAAGGATTATTTATCCTCAGTGCAGATCTACCACAAGCCTAACCAGCTCTGAGAGATTGATTCACCCGTGCTGTGGTGCTTCTTGTGGGGTGCTGGCGGTGTGTTTTAGCCTTAATGGTTTTCTGGTTAAGATTGCCTCAAGCTAACTTTGTGGAGACAGACATGGGGTCAGGTCACACTGACAGACTATGGACATAATTGAAGCCTAAATGTAACCAAATTTCTCTCCCTTCGTCTGTAGATTAATGCAAAACAGAGATTACATTACATTTCTTCATTCATGAGAGAGAGTGATGAGAATTATTGTTTCATATCAAACAGTGAGATAAGATCAGCTAAACCACTGATGTGAAAAGCAAATGTTCATCATAACAGGAACTGCCAAACTGTTTTGTTTTTACTGTCATAATAGCATCATTTGTAATAATTATGTCTTGACAGATTTTCTGACTGTGGACTCTCAGAGACTCACTGTGAAGTTGTGGTCTCGGCTCTGAAGTCCAACCCGTCCCACCTGAGAGAGCTGGACCTGAGTAAGAACAAGCTGCAGGACTCAGGAGTGAAGAAACTGTCTGCTGGACTGAAGAGTCCAAACTGTAGACTGGAGAGTTTGAGGTCAGTTCACTGATTGTAGCTTATGTTAATTTTATTTGTGTCATAAAACATTTGGGGTTTGCCTGAGCACAAACCTGAAGATATTAAAATTTTAAAGAAAAGAAAAAGACTGCTTCTTTCAGTGGCATCGGGCAGCGCTTTAACTGCCTTCCTACGGGCTCTTGCACTTGAGTTTGGCTGCCAAACACTTGGTTGTATCGCCAGGTGTATCTCCCTTGTATTAGGCTGGCCTTGCATCCGACCAATATGTGCCTGAGAGTTACTGAAACTATACATTGGGAATAGGCTGGATCCTCTTCCAGCCAAAGTTTGAGGGACAGGGCAGTGGCTCTGATGATGGAGCTTAACCTGACTCATTCCATGGTCCACAGCCCATCCCAACAGAGTTTCCTTCTCTCAACACTGTCCCACTTTGTCCAGTGACCTCGCTTGGCTTGGGATATGATCCTGGCTGCTTCTTCTTAGCGGCACACTTCCCCCACCACCAGCTGTTGGCGCTCTGCCAAGGTTTTTCCAATGTAGGTTTGCTTGCATCCTGTCCTGCTGCTGAGTGAGATGATGTGTCCATTTCCTCCCTGTTGCAGTGGTTAGACCAACGCCTCTTATGATTTAGTCCTGTGATTCTGTGAGACACATTTGTACTCCTCCACCAGGATAGAGACCACCAAGCCACTTGTTCACTTGTGAGTTTACCAGCCTCTCCAGCCGATTGGCATGAGATAGCGTGACCTCGTAGATGGTAATTGGCCACATGAGTCGGGGAAGGAGGCCAAATTGAAATTAGTAGTAATTAGTAATGTTGATCTCCACATTTAAAACCTGAACACATCTGATTGGATTAGAAATTATTTTATCTACATCTTTTATTCTTTATTCAGTTTGTGGGACTGCAGTTTGTCAGAGATCAGCTGTGATTATCTGGTCTCAGCTCTGAAGTCCAACCCCTCCCATCTGAGAGAGCTGGAGCTGAGTAACAACAACCTGCTGGATTCAGGAGTGAAGCTGCTGTGTGGTTTTCTGGAGAGTCCACACTGTAGACTGGAGACTCTGAGGTCAGACACCATTTTTTCCTTCTGTGCTGAGATTAATATGATGTGAAAGTTATGGTGACAGTACAGTGCAGACATAAGGCTGATATTATACTGATCCACACTGAGTATCTTAATGATAAAGTCTGGTTTCTTCTTCAGTGATTTAGTCCATTGACTGTGGCAGAGAAATGTTGAGCTCCACATTTAAAACCTGAATATAACAAGAAGAATCTACACTGGATAATCCACTCTTAACCTCTTAAAGACTTGATTTTCATTCGTGGTGGTGTCTCTCCAATTCTTGCCTGAGTATTTGCACACAGTATGACACACCACCTGCACTTATACAGTGTTTAGTATAGTTACCTTTACTAATAAGAAACTATTGGCCACACACCTCCAATTTAAGATCAAGTTGGACTGATCATTCAGCATACCTGGGTAAGAGCAGATGTGGATGGTTAAGAACGTTTGGTGCATCTGGAGTTGACTTCTGTTACCTTTTTATGAAAGGTGCTACATAAATACAGTTGAGTTAAATTTTTAACAGAAAATTAAGAGAAATTCAAGAAAATGTTGCTGCATGAGGCCCATTGTGTTCTAAAGTTACATAATTTATTCTTTATTCAGACTGAGTTATTGCAGGTTGTCAGAGATCAGCTGTGATTATCTGGTCTCAGCTCTGAAGTCCAACCCCTCCCATCTGAGAGAGCTGGAACTGTGGGGAAACAAGAAGCTGCAGGATTCAGGAGTGAAGCTGCTGTGTGGTTTTCTGGAGAGTCCACACTGTAGACTGGAGACTCTGAGGTCAGACACCATTTTTTACTTCTGTGCTGAGATTAATATGATGTGAAAGTTGTGCTGACAGTGAAGTGCAGACATAAGGCTGATATTGTACTTATAGTTCCTTGTTATTACAAAAATTACATAAATGCAATAAAAAGGTTATTTCAAGAAGTTATCTGTTTCAACTATTAGACAATAACAGTTAAATTCAGTGTTGGCTTTTCTGTATGTTCCCCACTTTGCACCTTTTGCTGATATCACAGACAACAGATCCTGAATACAAGTAAATTGCTGGGACTTTAATTTGTTAAAGACACAGAATGGTACCACAATAGTTTTCATCACTTTTACTCCTTCTACAGTATTGGACAGAAAACCGTGTTTTGTTGAGCAGTAGCTGGGCTCCCCCTCATAGCAGGCCGAGCAAGTTTCAAGTTTTCAAATTTCATGTTCATTTAATTTATAGCCCTTTAAAAAGCAAACAGGTTTTTGTGCCTGAGTGCTTCACAAAGACAGACAGACTGCATACATATTCACATATGAACATAAAGGTATAAACTGTATTTGCAAAGCACGTTTTGCATATGAAGCAAGATTATGATTAAAAAAAAGCTTTACCCTACATTTCACAATCACCCACGTTTATACACTGATGGCAGAAGCTGCTATGCAAGCCAACTGCTCATAAGAAACTAACTAACCCGTCCATACACCGAAGGCACAGCATTGGGAGCAATTTAGTGTTCAGTGTCTTTCCCGAGCACACTTCCACATGCAGCAGGGATCAAATCGCCAACCCTTCTGATTAGTGGACCACCCGCTCTACCTGAGCCACAGCCACCCCAAATAAAAACACAAGGAATCAAATAAAAACAGGTTGAACTCAGTTAAAAACCAAGGAGCTCCTACAAAAAAATCCCTGTCCTTGAACAGTGTCTTCTGAAGTTACATAATTTGTTCTCTATTCAGATTGAGTGACTGCAGTTTGTCAGAGATCAGCTGTGATTATTTAGTCTCAGCTTTGAAGTCCAACCCCTCCCATCTGAGAGTGCTGCAGCTGAGTGACAACAAGCTGCAGGATTCAGGAGTGAAGCTGCTGTGTGGTTTTCTGGAGAGTCCACACTGTAGACTGGAGACTCTGAGGTCAGACACCCTTTTTTACTTCTGTGCTGAGATTAATATGATGTGAAAGTTGTGCTGTTTGTGAGTGCAATTTATGGAGTCATGTACATTTGTTGCCATTACATGACTTAAGATCAAAAACTAGCGAGACGACAGTTTTGCTTACGCGGCAAAATATGAGGCCCATCGTTTCTCAAGCTGAGCTTGAAATTCTAATTCATGTTTTTATATTGTCCTGTTTTGATAAAGTCCCTCTTCCCTTGTCTCAACAAAACATCCCTGGGTTGTTTGCAGGCAGACAAAATGCTGCTGCTGCTAATTTTGAACAGGTCCTCCAAAAGGTGTCATGTGATACCTATCTTGATTTCTCTTCACTGGCTCACCATCAAACTCAAAATTCGATTTACGGTTCTTGTCATGAAATATAGAGCACTGCATGGTCAGGCACCTGCTAACATTAGAGATATACTACAGCCCTTCATCACCAGCAGGGCTCTGATTAGGGTCTCCTTGAGCCAGACTAAAATCACCTAATATAATGACGTTGCTGTCAAAAATACATTTCCTTATTCCTCCTATAACTTGCTTAAAGAGACCATTTCGACAAACAAATAACCTTGTATCCTTAAATAGTGACAGCAACAGGTGGAGAGTTAGTATGGAGCCAAATTTAACACAAAAAGTCCAAATTACAATTGACATGTAGATGTTTTATTTGATGACTCTTATAACAAGGCTGCAGATATTCAAATTCCCCATATTCTATCCTTCGGGTTTGGCTTGGGAATCTCAAGATCCTGTTATGACTTACAGTGTGGAAAATGTATTTCTCTAACTTTATACACTTCTATTTGGTTTAAGAATCTGTGTTTTCTGTACAGTATTTATCAACCGACTTGTTGAGGGACAGTGGTTTTAAGTGGTTTTAAGTTACATTCTAAACCTTCTTCAGCTCTGAACAGATTATTAAATACTGAATGATTTCAATCAGGAACATTGTCTTCTAAACTTACATCTTTTATTCTTTATTCAGATTGAGTTGGTGCAGTTTGTCAGAGATGAGCTGTGATTATCTGGTCTCAGCTCTGAAGTCCAACCCCTCCCATCTGAGAGATCTGAGGCTAAAAGGGAACAAGCTGCAGGATTCAGGCGTGAAGCTGCTGTCTGATCTTGTGAAGAGTCCACACTGTAGACTGGAGACTCTGAGGTCAGTAGTTGGTTTGAGTCAGTCCATGCTGATTTCAGGATTATTGTACTATAACTGTATTGTGACGACCTCTGTTGTATCAACTTGTGTGCTGTGTGATTCACCCGTCTCGCTGCATCTTTAAGGTAATCTGGAACACCTGAGGGCCCAGGTTATTGAAGTCTCATTGCCTCTGTCCACCGAGCCTAGCTCTTCCTCCCATCTTCCTATGGGCACAAATTTATTTGGTTTTGTATCCAAGTTTATCTTTATGCCTTGTTTTGCACCTTTTGCAACATCTACACACATCCTTCATTCGTACACAGTCATGGAACTGACATTCACACTACGCCTTAATTATCCTCAAATGGCACTTTAATTTACTTAATTTAGTTCAATGTGGTTCAGTAAAATATATTTTGTTAGAACTTTATAGTGGTTTCTCGCCTCTTTGTTGTGGACAGCCGGGTCATAATTAATTGGGGGCTCGTCCAAGATGATAGCAAATTGGGAGCTCGTCCATTTGGTTGTTAGGAAGTTTGTAGACTAGGACATTTTGTTGCGTTTGTCTGTGTGTTTTGTTCGCAACAGTTTTGCTGGTTTCTAGTTTTGAGAGATGCACCATATTTTTAACTAAAGTGTGTAGAAGCATGTGTTCTTGATTGTTCTCTCCACAGGATGTTATTTGTTTATGGTGTGTCTCCTATTTTTTATGGCCAAAGAGCCAGGTCATATACACAACACACACAGTTATATTACAGTTCATATTCCAGTATTTCCTGTAAACCTTGGACCTTCTCAGTGACTGCTTCCCTCAGTGAACAGAGGACTGCTGTGTACTGGTGGCAAGATTTGTAGCAGCCTTGTCACACGTGGCTAATAATTAATGTTTATTGATTATTATACAATGTTTTGGGTCAATTCTGATTAGCTACTGGGTGTCCATTAATTCCTGATGTGGGACACCTTTAGTAGGATTTACCAGGGAAATTGAGTTTTGGCTTGTAAAAAAAATTGAAAAACACTTGAAAATATAAAATGATAGCAAGTCTTTGGCAAGTGACCATAATCGAGGTGTCCATAATCAGGAATTAATGGACTTCACAGAGGCTGTTAATTCCTGATAATGAACACCTCGTCAGGCATTGTCCCTTACGTAATTAGTTTCTTGTATGTTTATATCTTGTATTACTCTTACCTTCTTTCCATAGCCCTTTTGTTCTCTCTCTCTCTCTCTCTCTCTCTCTCTCTCTATATATATATATATATATATATATTATAGTTCTGAAGCTAAGTTACACAGCTAAGCTAAGCTACACAGCTGCTACACTGCTGGTCTGAACTGGACTGAAGTCCCTGCTGCTCTTTATACTGGATGTGCTGATGGAGGGAGTCTCTGTAAACACTGATTTATGACTTCTGTTGTCTGTCTTCTTCTCTCATCAGATGTAAGTGATCTCTGTCAGAGTGTGAGTGGTGAGGAAGGAGGTTGTGTTGGAGGATCAGCTGTGTCCTGATGATCCAGAGAGGTTGAAGCAGCAGCATCAGCTCTGACTGGGCCATGTTACTGGGAGGTAGAGTGGAGAGGAGAGCTTCATCCAGCAGTGACTGACAGAGGAATCACAACCAGTGGAGATGACTCTCAGTGCTGCAGTCTGAACTGCTCTGAGATCAGCTCCACTGTCAGACACAATGTCAAGTCCACCATCATCCCTGTGTGTTCCTCTGGATGTGACAGAGTATCATCAGTGTATCTGGACTGCTCTGCTGCTGCTCTGTCCTTCTACACAGTCTCTGCAGACACACTGAGACTCCTCCACTCCTTCTGCTCCACACTCAACCTCCTCCTCCACCTGGAACCTCCACCTGGATTTGTCCTGTCTTTTTTATTATTCTTTCAGATATTCTGAACCCAAACCAGTTCTATTTTTGGCATCTGTTAATTGGAGCAATTTATCTGTACTCACTATACTATACTTTTTCTACATCCTAACAGATGAACTGAACTGAACTAAAGAACTTCAGAGTCTGCTGAAATCTGTTTGTCACTATGAACAACTTTCACTCTAATATAATTTGATCTGTTGTTAAAATAAAAATATATTATTAAAATACTTAAACCGAACTTTTACTGGCTTTTTTTGACATTTCTAAGTGAAATACTAAATTCAATTTCACTCACCAACTTCATTGCAGAGGTCTAATTGTTTAACACAGACTTTAACTGTGGCTGAAATCCTGTATCAGACTGATCAGTTTCACTCTCACCTCAGTTTCAACTTTTACTTCACTGCAGTTTCCTGCGTTACAACTGTATTTCCAAATCTAGCTTGCTGGAAATTATGCCCTTGCTTTTTTGTAAAAAGAAAAAAAAATAACAACAAGGAAATTGTGGTCTATTTCATTAATATAGTAGTAACCATATTTATATTAATATTCACTTTATTTCGTATGTTTCAGTGAAGTCCAGTAATTTGAATTTTTTTTAGAGACAGTTATTACAGTTTTAAATGAATCAATTTGACATAATAACGAAGTTACAGTGGTCAGGACTGTTACAGAGGTCAGTGCTGTAGATGCAAGGCAAATATTACCTATATCTTCAATGATTTGATTGAGTTCATTTGACAATAATACCTAGTTACGCAGGACAGAAGTCTGTTCTATATACAGATCAGAGGTCAGTGCTCTAGATACAGCAGAAATTCCTCAGTGCTGAATTGTATTGCATTCCCAAATTTAGGAATGTTATACATAAAGCCACATTGCACGCTTGTTTTAACATTTCATACAATTCTATCAAAAGTAGCTCCACCCTGTGGCCCTCATTAAAAACCTGCCATATCTCTTCAACACAGTATTCATGCACATACACTTATGACAGATTTTGGGTGGTATCTTCAGTAGAAAATCATGAACACTTGTTGCTGGAAGTCTTTCAGAAGCAGTGCCTTTAAGTGGTGGCAGCAACAGATGCTGCAATCACATGCACTTTGTTCTTTCTTCTTCTTCTTTCTACTTTTAAAATGTCATACATTTCTAATATAAGTACCTCCCACCTCTGCCGATTAACTTTAACTTTAACCTGCTATGCACAACTCTTTTAGTACAAACTTACCATGTAACAATTGCAATGTACAGTTACACAATGTCATAAAATATATACAAATATACTTCACATAGTGTATATATTCTCATTATAGCTTCTATATCATCTATTATAGCTTTATTATAATTTTAATGTGTTTTTACTCTTTACTGTTTGCACTACCTTTCCCCTGTGCTGCTGTGTCAAACGTGAATTTCTTCCATGGGGGATCAGTAAAGGAACATTTTATCATCTTATTTTTATCAAAATTCTACATTGCTAACAGGGGACTGTCAGACTAACCTATCCAACAGGGGATTGATGTTTCTGGTTATTTAAAATAACCCAAAATAGCATAGAACCTTTTCTTGTAAGGTCTTTTAGCAGAATATTACTTCAAATGTATTTTTTAAATTTTTTTTAAAGAAATTGCCAAGAGGGGACGTTTTTCCATTGGTGATGTCTACCTATCAAAGAGGGGACCTCCATATACTGCAGTGGAACTGCCTCTACCCCTTCTTTTACCTTCAATAAGTGTTTGTTTACTGCAAAGACTTTCTTTCTGTAATGTTTTCAATATTTAAACCTTTATCTGTGATACAATTATTACAAAAATACATTACAAAAATAATCATGGCCACTTTTTTTGAGAATAAATAATGATTTACCTGCAATTAAGAAGTAACTTGGTCGCATGCACTAATATTAAGGCATACAGTGCTAGCAACAAAATCAATTTATATAGGCTTTGATTACAGAAATGATAAATTATTACAATAGTGCACTAATTAAAATTTCTTAAGGGAATTTGTATTCTTTTTATGATGTGTGTGGAATGGTGAAATAAACAGAGTGGTCCATTTATCCTTATTGTTATTAGATTCTATTTTATTTTGTTTTTGCCCTTAATAACAAACATTTCCTAATCTTGGGCAGGTTTTGGATCATACGTTGACTGTCATGTTGTGGCTGTTCGGATGAGACACAGATTACAGTAATCAAAATAAAGAAAAATAAGAAGAATAAAAGTTAAAAATTAAACAGGAAAAAATGAGTAATAAAGTAGTAAGATCGTTTCTTTTTAGTTTTAATTAATAAACTTGTTTGATTAGCCCTTTAAAGTGGCTCAGTCCCAAAATCCCAACATACTGACCACTTTTCACAAGCACTGGATGTCAATCAGTTTTCCAATAAACAAGCTCAGTTTGCAATTCTTCTCAATAATTGTCTGTTAATTCTCAGTACATAAAAAAGTCCCCACTTGAACTGTATTGTATGACAGGAGTCCACTGTTGGCTGGTCGTTCTATGCTATTCCCACTTAGATAGCATAGAACGACATTCACACTCCAGCAAGGGTGAATAAAAAAGACATAAGCAAAATTCTTAGGAGAAAGTAATAATCTAAACTAAACATAATATAATCTGTAGTGATGTTTTTATTTTTTATTAAAGTGGCACCAATAATGTTGTCATTGTAGTTTTTTGAAATGTGGAGTGTATTGTGAAAACATGACAACCTATCATGACACACAATATGTAAGTGAAGCAACATATATGACTTATTTTGGACATATCTAAGGGACAATTGAGCTAGAGGATAGATTAACCCAACAGAGCGCACTGTTAGACCCCAGGCAGCTACTGTAGTCATTGGTGAAAATGTACCTTCATTTACCCTATTATAGTCCAGATGGTTTGGGTTGGACTGGAGTCTTTACCTGCATTGAACTATCATTTGTTTTCCCCCAATATTTACAATGAAGTTGTACATTAATTGATGAATATAGAAGGCATATTAGAGGGTTGTCAAATGGCGCAGGATGAGGAACTGAGAGTTTGCATACAGTGAAAGGCACATAGGCTGCATTAAGTTCATAGAATGACAGGGGTCCCCTGTTGAATGAATGGTATGGAACATTATCTACATCTAAAACATTCATCTACCACAGCTTGGTTCAAATGGCGATGCAGAAGTCACGTGATCTTGTGTGATGTCTAGTTCAATTCAATTGAGGAATTGTCGTGAAGACCAAAGGGTCAGACACATAAATGACTGTGTGTGTCTGTGATTAAATGTTAATCCTTCAGTATTAAGAGGCAGCAGATGGTGCAGCAGTTACTATAGTTACAGTTTTGTATATTTAAAATAATGAAAAATCAGTTTGTTATAATGACACTTTTCACTTTTATTAAAGCAGGAAAAGATTAAACGTTACAGAAGTTAAATGTGTTTCATTTAAACTAACCCAGGTTTCCAGAAGGTGTGTCAGATATAGTCAGTGAAACTGAGGCAGAAGATTGCACTGTGCTGCCCCCCAGAGACCGACCGCAGTAACTACAGAATAATAGCTTCAGACTGTCCAAATGTGTTTGATGTAGAACAGCAGTTATGTGCTCATTAAATATGGATTCTCATGGCTTTAAAATCATGAGCAATTATTTGACCTCTGCCCCGTAAACAGCAGATCCTGCACTCGGTCTACCTTTAAATCTGTTTATGTAATACAAAGCGCAGTAAGTACAGTCTCAGTATCTTCTGCCTGACTGAATCTAAATGTCTTTTTACATTAAATATGTACAATAAGAAGTTCAAATAAAGAATATTACAACAGTCACAATGTTGGCTGTATTGTCGTATATTGTGTTGATATTTAGACATTCAGACATTTATAGTCAGTGTGAACTCGTTGTTTGACCGATCCGTCTGTCTCCTTTATACAGCCTACACAGGACAACAGGAACATCAGTGCAGTTGGTGAAGTGCTGCGTTCAAAATGTTACTAAAAGTCCAAAAGTGTTTAAAAGCACTCAATATGCAGGTTCTTCTTTTCAGAAGAATTCTTTTGATATTATTGAAGCCTTCATGTGTTTGTAACTCAAAATACTCCAGTAAAGTACAAGTACCTAAATACTCGAGTAAATGTACTATCTTTCCACCACTGTTGGAGCTCCCATTTATAACGTTTAATAGCTAATAATGAATGATTAAGTGCTGCTTAATAAGCAAATATGACTTTTCTGATACTAAGAATATCCATCCAATCCAATCCAACTTTATTTGTTAAGCACTTTAAAACAACCAAAGTTGACCAAAGTGCTGTACAGGAGAATAAATAAGACATCATAAATAAAAGACATAACAGCTCACATGAGGCGCAAAATTACATATAAAATACAACAATAAAATGAAAAAACATAAAACATGAGTAAAAATAATAGCCACGCAATAAAAAGCAATCAAAATAAGAAATTAAGTCAAGTAAATGAAGTCGACATCTTACTAGGTGCCAAAGGCCACAGAGAAGAGGTTTTAAGACTGGTTTTAAAAACAGACAGAGAAGAGGCCTGTTTAACGTGCAGAGGCAGATCATTCCATAATTTAGGAGCAGACACAGCAAAGGCACGGTCCCTCTGAGCTTCCGCTTAGTTTAAGGCACACTCAGGAGCAGCTGATCATCTGACCTGAGAGAGCGGACGGGTATATAGGGGTGTAGAAGCTCAGAGAGGTAGGACGGGGCAAGACCATTCAGGGATTTAAAAGCAAATAAAAGAATTTTAAAATGGATCCTAAATTGAATAGGCAGCCAGTGGAGTGAGGCTAAAATGGGGGAAATGTGCTCATGTTTACCGAACACAGAGACTTGAGCATCAAATTGGCATTAAAGGAACCGCACTTCGCTGGTTTAAGTCAAACTCAGAAGAGACTTATCAGATCGTTCTCGTTTGTACACCTTAACGATGAATCCTCCATAAACACTAAAGTTAGTCATGGAGTTCCACAAGGTTCTGTACCTGGACCAATTCTATACACTACAATTTTAGAGAGGAAGGGGAGGTTAGAAATTAGTCTATAGTTGGTTCCTTTAATGCCAATTTGATGCTCAAGTCTCTGTAAAAGAATATCATGGTCAGTGGTGTCAAATGCAGCACTAAGATCTAACAATAGTACAGAGACAAGGCCATTGTCGAAAGCAATTAAAAGGTTGTTATTAACTTTAACCAGTGCTGTCTCTGTGCTGTGATGAACTCTAAATCCTGACTGAAAATCCTTAAATAAACTATTGTTATGTAGAAAGTTACACAACTGATTGCCGACTACTTTCTCCAGAATCTTAGAGAGGAATGGGAGGTTAGAAATCGGTCTATAGTTGGTTAAAAGCAGCCTAGTTGGGATCGGGTCCAACAGACAGGTTGATGGCTTCGATGTAGAAATTATTGAAGTTAACTGATGAAGATCGATAGCAGAAAAACAGTCTAAGTATATATCTGATTTTACATTAATTAAAGTTCCTGAACTTGGACGCATAACAGGGCGAGTGCCAGGTATAGCTCAAGTTAGAGTTTCTTAAGATATAAGTCTGAGATAGGACACAGGATAAGTTTAGGAGAGGAGGAGTCTCAGTGTGTCTGCAGAGACTGTGTAGAAGGACAGAGCAGCAGCAGAGCAGTCCAGATACACTGATGATACTCTGTCACATCCAGAGGAACACACAGGGATGATGGTGGACTTGACATTGTGTCTGACAGTGGAGCTGATCTCAGAGCAGTTCAGACTGCAGCACTGAGAGTCATCTCCACTGGTTGTGATTCCTCTGTCAGTCACTGCTGGATGAAGCTCTCCTCTCCACTCTACCTCCCAGTAACATGGCCCAGTCAGAGCTGATGCTGCTGCTTCAACCTCTCTGGATCATCAGGACACAGCTGATCCTCCAACACAACCTCCTTCCTCACCACTCACACTCTGACTGAGATCACCACTTCCAGCTGAGGAGAGAAGGAGACAGAGGACAGCAGAGATCAATCAGCGTTTACAGAGACTCCCTCCATCAGCACATCCAGTATAAAGAGCAGCAGGGACTTCAGTCCAGTTCAGACCAGCAGTGGAGCGGCTGTGTAGCGTAGCCTGCTTCCTTTCAGCTCTCATGTTAACGTATTGGAGTGAACACACTGAGCTGAAGCTCACAGACCTGCAGACACTTTGGACATCAAGTCTGTTGACTCTGCGGATTTCACTGAAGTACACAGTGGAAATAAAGTGCCGAGAGTCCCTGAACGCATCATTACTGCAGAAACAGAGAGACAATCACTGCCCACTGGAATGATGCATTTACTGCTGTTAGGGTTCAAAGCTGATAAAAACCACAGTCCCAGTCACATTTGAATGTTGCATCTGAAATCTTACAGGACAGATGTGTAAATATTCAAACTATTTGGACAGAACAAAATGATTGTCTGTCTGTCTGTCTGTCTGTCTGTCTGTCTGTCTGTCTGTCCCCATTATCCTCTCACAGCTTCACTGAGTAAAGAAATACTGGATCTGTGTTTAGTACAATACTGCTGAAACCAGCATGGACTGACTCTAACCCTCTACTGACCTCAGAGACTCCAGTCTACAGTGTGGACTCTTCACAAGATCAGACAGCAGCTTCACTCCTGAATCCTGCAGGTAGTTGTTACTCAGGTCCAGCTCTCTCAGATGGGAGGGGTTGGACTTCAGAGCCGAGACCAGATAATCACAGCTGATCTCTGACAACCTGCAGGCCCATAATCTGAATAAAGAATAAAAGATGTGAGTTTAGAAGACAATGTTCCTGCTTGAAATCATTCAGTGTTTAATAATCTGTTCAGAGCTGAAGAAGGTTTAGAATGTACAAGTTTAGAAAATGGAAACTCCAAACACCTGAACCCAACAGCAGGTTGAAAACTGTAAAATACAAAGAGTGAAAAAGAGCTCTCGTTAATATTAATGACAACATGCTGCTGCTTCAATAAAGACGTAGTGACTTCAGCTCTTAACCTCTGCCAGCTCCACCAGTGGCTCCATCTATACAAACTCATGTTGTGCAGCCAAACACAAAGAAAAACCCACAGAAAGTGATTGAAGGTTCCACTATTAAAGATAAAATGCTGTCATCTTGAGTGTAAGTCACATATCATCAGAAAGGTTTGGTACAAGCTGATATGTTTATTGTCCGACAGAGAAGAAAATATGTTTCTGTTTATATTCAGAGGATCATGAGAGAAAGGTGGAAATGAAATGATGAAGAGAATCAACCAGTGTTGAATTATTAATGTTTTATTAAATATGTTTGAAATATGAAGCTCAACAAGCTCAGTGTTAATCAGCATAAAATCCTTCAAAACTGAGATTTTAAAGTTTAGAATAAAGTTTTGGAATTATTAAGTATGTTTTAACATTACATTTTTAAATTGTATTATTATTAGATTAGAGATTACGTTACATTAAAATAAACATTATCCAACAAACTGTTTTCAAATATTTAACAATCTCTTTTCTGAGATTTAAACCTGTTGTTCCACCAGTGCATGCTGGGATTTCATGTGTTCATCACCAGACTTGTATGTGTGAATACAGACGACAGCTTCAATCAATGTTGTAAATACTAGACAGTTTTCTGGTTGATATTCATAATGTTTGGTTTAATGTGTGAGAGATGAACGCTTTGTGTGACTGAACTGTTGTTGTGATGTTGTACGTCTGTAATTTGTTCTCAGCTCTGTGTTGTACAACAGATCCTGATCTTAATCAGACTTTCTAAATAAATAAAACTGAACTCACTCACCAACTCAAACTGCCAACATTGTAACTGTGAACTATAAGTGTGACATACAAATGTTATTTTCAAATGTTTAAATCCTTTTTTTTCTGTTATAAAATCTGAGTTCAAACTTTAAAAACTTATTTTCAACCATTTCATCTTTTTTTACTGTCATCAAATCTGAAGGAGATTTTACCTCATAAATATCAACCTGTCTGCATGTTACTGTCAGCACAACTTAACATCATATTAATCTCAGCACAGAAGGAAAAAATGGTGTCTGACCTCAGAGTCTCCAGTCTACAGTGTGGACTCTCCAGAAAACCACACAGCAGCTTCACTCCTGAATCCTGCAGATTGTTGACACTCAGGTCCAGCGCTCGCAGATGGGAGGGGTTGGACTTCAGAGCTGAGACCAGATAATCACAGCTGATCTCTGACAAACTGCAGTACCTCAATCTGAATAAAGAACAAAAGATGAAGATAAAATAATTTCTAATCCAATCAGATGTGTTCAGGTTTTAAATGTGGAGATCAACATTACTATGTCCTAATCAATGAGCTTTTCTCTAAAATTAGTAGAGTGACTTTGTCATTGTGTTGACTTTTGTCTTTGTCACTTTTTTCCACCTACAATTCTGTTTTTACATCAGCAGGTGAGCCGCGTGTGGAGGAGGCTCGTTGTTAATGACGAAGCTAATCAAAACGATGGAAACCAACGTGGTAACCAATGACAACAGCACCAGCTCATAATAATAATAATAATAAAAATGATAAATATAATAATAATACTGCTAATACTAAAAAAAATAATAATAATAATGTTAATATTAATACATAATAATAATAAGGATGATGATCATAATATAAAATAATAATGGTAGAAATAAATTATAATAATAACAATAATAAATAATAATTATTATTATAATAGTAATGATATTGATAATAACAATAATGTATTGTGGAGGTGGGTGTGGTTTGCACTTAGCTCCAGGAGAGAGATGTGCGGGAAGGGCTTGTGTGAGTAGCACCAGGTGAGTTGATTGCCTCATCTGCTAATCGTTGCCTAATCACTCTACCTTTATCTTGCAGTAATGTGCTGGACCTGGGGCCGTGTGGCTACTGAGAGCGAGAGCCACGGAGTAACAGAACCGATTGTGTGTTGTTGGTGTTGGCACAACAGATAGCACTTACGTGAACCAACTATCTGGTTAGAGAGTTTGTGTGCTGCCAGGACTCACGGTTGTAGCGAGATCTGCTACATATATAAATAATAATAATAATAATAATAATAATAATAATCCTCTCCGGGAACCATCACCTTATCACGGTGAAGAGGTTTGGGTGCTTCTATGAACCTGAGAGCTGTGTTGTCAACATGCTCCTGGTAGGGTCTCCCAAGGCAAAGTGGTCTCAGGTGAGGGGCCAGACTAAGAATGGTTCACAGACCACTATGGAAAAGCATGGAAGATGCAAAGAGACCTGGTGGTGAGTTGGGTTAGGTGGCGGGGGAAGCCACTGGACAGACCTGGTAAACCCAAACGTGTAGTACGGGTGAACTGGGAACGTCTGGAGGAGGCCCCTGTCCGAGAGACTTTCAACTCCCACCTCCGGCGGAGCTTCTCCTACATTCCTGTAGAGGCGGAGGACATCGAACGGGAGTGGTTGATGTTCAAAGCTTCTATTGCTGAAGCTGCGGCTGTGAGCTGTGGTCTTAAGGTCTTGGGTGCATCAAGGGGCGGCAACCCTCGAACACCACCCTCGGTGGTGGTCAGGGAAGCCGTCCGACTGAAGAAGGAGGCCTTCCGGGATATGTTATCCCGGGGGACTCCCGAGGCAGTTGCAGGGTACTGGCAGGCCCGAAGGGCTGCAGCCGCAGCTGTGAGGGAAGCAAAACAGTGGGTGTGGGAGGAGTTCGGAGAAGTCATGGAGAAGGACTTTCAGACAGCACCCAGGCGCTTCTGGAAAACCGTCCGACACCTCAGGAGGGGGAAGCGGGGAACCATTCAAGCTGTGTACAGCGGGGATGGGACACTGCTGACCTCAACTGAGGAGGTAATTGGGCGGTGGAAGGAACACTTTGGGGAACTCCTGAACCCAACTAGACCAATAAACCCACCCTCTGTGATAGAGGCAGGGCTGGAGTGTGATGGGGGATCTACATCAATTTCTCTGCGGGAAGTCACTGAGGTAGTCAAACAACTCCACAGTGGCAAAGCCCCAGGGATTGACGAGATTCGTCCAGAAATGCTTAAGGCTCTGGGTGTTGGGATCCCCCAGTCAGAGTTGGCCGATGTGGGCAGGGAAAGGGTAGTTTGGGGTTCTCTGCTGAACTTGCTACCCCCGCGACCCGACCCCGGATGAGCGGATGAAGATGAATGAATGAATGAATGAATAAATAATAATAATAACAATAACAATAACAACAACAACAATAATATTATTAATTCATATTATTCAATTACTATATGACCATATTATTATATATATATTATTTCCACTTTACTTCTGTAGTTATTTACTGAATACATGATACAATTATTGGCATTATAATATTAACACTATAGGTACATACAGTATATACTTATATATATATATATATATATATATATATATATATATATATATATATATACATATTATGTTATTCTTCCTGTCCATACCTTACAGACACTATATACTATATAGCCCATACTGACCCTGTTATTGTTTATGTTGTCATTGTCTCATGTTTTGTCTTCCAATATGTTGTTTGTATGTGGATTCAGTTTGATGTAACACAGTAAATAAAATATTATTTAAACAAGGATGAATTTTGGGGAAATGTGAACAAACAACAAACAAATGTTGGAAAAAGCAAAAAAATTAATCTATTTGTTATTGTCTGATAGTTGAAATAGAGATTATTGATTTATTCATTGTATTTATTGTCATCATTTCTTTTAAAACACATGATGGGGAATATAAAATGGAAATAAAGAGTGATTCAGTGTAGATTCTTCTTGTTATATTCAGGTTTTAAATGTGGAGCTCAACATTGCTCTGCTACAGTCAATGGACTAAACCACTGAAGAAGAAAAAAGACTTTAGCATTAAGATACTCAGTGTGGATCAGTATAATATCAGCCTTGTGTCTGCACTTTACTGTCAGCACAACTTTCACATCAGATTAATCTCAGCACAGAAGGAACAAATAGTGTCTGACCTCAGAGTCTCCAGTCTACAGTGTGGACTCTCCAGAAAACCACACAGCAGCTTCACTCCTGAATCCTGCAGCTTGTTGTTGTTACTCAGCCTCAGCTCTCTCAGATGGGAGGGGTTGGACTTCAGAGCTGAGACCAGATAATCACAGCTGATCTCTGACAATCTGCAGGACTTCAATCTGAATAAAGAATAAAATATGAAGATAAAATCATTTCTAATCCAATCGGATGTGTTCAGGTTTTAAATGTGGAGATCAACATTACTATGTCCTAATCAATGAGATTTTCTCTAAAATGAGTAGAGTGACTTTGTCATTGTGTTCACTTTTGTCTTTGTCACTTTTTTCCACCTGCTATTCTGTTTTTACATCAGCAGGTGAGTCGAGTGTGGAGGAGGCTCGTTTTGTCATTGTTTCTATTTGTTATTGTCTGATAGTTGAAATAGAGATTATTGGTTTATTCATTTACTGTCATCATTTCTTTTAAAACACATGATGGGGAATATAACACAAACTGAACTGAACTAAACACTGCAGCCAATTCTATTTGTTATAGTGTACCACGCTCCTGGACCGTACTCCGATTTTATATCTGAATTCTCAGAGTTTTTATCAAGTTTAGTCCTTAAATCACATAAAGTAATTATTGTGGGTTTTTTTAACATGTGGATGTTAACAATGACAGCATTAGTAATGCATTTATCTCATTAATAGACTCAATTGGCTTCTGTCAGAGTGTAAATAAACCAACTCATTGTTTTAATCACACTCTGGACCTTGTTCTATCATATGGCATTGATATTAAACATTTAATAGTCTTCCCACATAATCCTTTCCTATCTGACCATTATTTAATAGCTTTTGAATTCATATTATTAGATTATAAGCCATTAGCCAAAACTTCTTACCTATCTGGCAGTGCTGGAGCTAAATTTAAGGAGGAGATTCCATCAATGTTTAATTCAAGTCCTATAACAACTTTAGTCCCTCTGAAATTGATAATCTTGTTAATAGTGCTGCAGGCTCACTACGAACAACATTAGACTCTATCGCCCCTATAAAAAGGACATTTTTAAAACATAGGAGACTAGCACCTTGGTACAACCACCAAACTCGCCAATTGAAGCAAAAAACAAGATAATCTGAAAGGAAATGGCACTTTTCAAAATTATCAGAATATCTCTCAATTTGGCAAGATAATCTTAAAACCTATAGAAAGGCCCTCCGTAATGCCAGAGGAGCCTATTACTCAGCACTGATAGAAGAAAATAAGAATAACCCTAGGTTCCTCTTCAGCACTGTAGCCAGGCTGACAGAGAGTCACAGCTCTATTGAGCCACATATCCCCATAAACTTAAGTAGCAATGACTTCATGAGCTTCTTCTATAATAAAATTATTACTATTAGAGAAAAAATGAATCACCAACTGCCATCAACAGTTATCACTGGCTCCAAGTTCAGGAACTTTAACTAATGTAAAATCAGATATATATTTAGACTGTTAACTTCAATAATTTATTCAACGACCTGATCCCAACTAGGCTGCTTAAAGAAGTTGTACCCTTAATTGGCACTCCTTTACTGGATATGATTAATCTTTCTTTATTATCAGGATATGTACCACATTCCTTTAAAGTAGCTGTAATTAAACCCCTTCTTAAAAAGCCCACTATTGACCCAGGGGTTTTAGCCAACTATAGACCGATTGCTAACCTCCCCTTCCTCTCTAAGATTCTGGAGAAAGTAGTCGCCAAAGAGTTGTGTGACTTTCTACATAACAATAGTTTATTTGAGGATTTTCAGTCAGGATTTAGAGTTCATCACAGCACAGAGACAGCTCTGGTTAAAGTTAATAATGACCTTCTGACTGCTTCTGACAATGGACTTGACTCTGTACTTGTATTATTAGATCTTAGTGCTGCATTTGACACCACTGACCATGGTATTCTTTTACAGAGACTTGAGCATCAAATTAGCATGAAAGGAACTGCACTAAGCTGGTTTAAGTCATATTTATCAGATCGTTCTCAGTTTGTACATGTTAACGATGAATATGGAATGGAATCTTCCATAAATACTACAGTTAGTCATGGAGTTCCACAAGGTTCTGTACTTGGACCAATAGTATTTAATGTATATATGCTTACTTTAGGCAATATTATTAGGAATCACTCCATTAACTTTCACAGTTATGCAGATGATACGCAGTTATATCTATTGATCAAGCCCGATGAAATTAATCAATTATCTAAATTACAAACATGTCTTAAGGACATAAAATCCTGGATGAGCTGGAATTTTCTGATGTTAAACTCAGAAAAAAACTAAATTCTTTTAATTGGCCCCAAAAACCTTAGAGACTCACTGTCTAAAGATAAAGTTACTCTAGATGGCATTTCCTTGGCCTCTAGCACCACTGTCAGGAATCTTGGAGTTATCCTTGATCAAGATTTGTCATTTAATTCCCACATAAAGCAAACCTCCAGGACTGCCTTCTTTCATTTACGTAATATTACAAAAATTAGACACATCCTATCACAGACAGATGCAGAAAAACTAATCCATGCATTTGTTACTTCAAGGCTGGATTACTGCAACTCTTTATTATCAGGTTGCCCCAATAAGTCCATTAAAACGCTCCAATTAATTCAGAACGCTGCAGCACGAGTACTGACAGGAACTAGAAAAAGAGATCACATCTCTCCTGTACTAGCTACTCTGCACTGGCCTCCTGTAAAATGTAGAATAGAATTTAAAATTCTCCTCCTCACCTATAAAGCTCTTCATGGTCAGGCCCCTTCATATCTTAAAGAGCTCATAGTACCCTATTACCCCACTAGAACACTACGTTCTCTGAATGCTGGGCTACTTGTGGTTCCTATAGTCTCTAATAGTAGAACAGGAGCCAGAGCCTTCAGTTACCAAGCTCCTCTCCTGTGGAACCAGCTTCCAGTTGTGGTTTGGGAGGCAGACACCCTCACCACATTCAAGAGTAGGCTTAAGACATTCCTCTTTGATAAAGCTTATAGTTAGGGCTGGATCAGGTGAGTCCTGAACCATCCCTTAGTTATGCTGCTATAGGCCTAGACTATCTGGGGATTTCCCATGATGCACTGAGCTCCTCTCTTCCTCTCTCTTTCTGCACTCATTCATGTTCCATTAATGCATGTTACTAACTTCACTTCTTCCCTGGAGTTCTTGTGCTTTCTCGTCTTGCAGGTTCTCATGGATCCTGGTGGAGCCTCCTGCCATGGTCCTGCTTGACTGCCATTGTTAATATTACTGATATTATTGTTATTATTATTATCAATACAGTTACTATTATTACTATCGTCACTGCTCATTGTCCCCCATCGTCGTTGCTGTCGTCGTCATCATCTTCTTCATGTTCATCATCATCAGTCACTACTATTAGTGTAGCTGTTGCTACTGTTGTTGCTGTGCACCTGTTTGTCTGTCTGTCTGTCTCTCTCTCTCTCTGTCCCTCTCTCTCTCTCTCACCCCAACTGGTCGAGGCAGATGACCACCCACCTAGGGCCAAAGGGTCTGTCCTAGCTTTCGGCTAGTTATTTTTTTGGCCTTTTATTGCCTTTATTTGATAGATACAACTGAAGATAGACAGGAAAGGGGGACAGAGAGACAGAGAAAGAGAGACAGAATTGAATTGAACTGAAATAAAGATTGAATTATCCAGTGTAGATTCTTCTTCTTATATTCAGGTTTTAAATGTCGAGCTCAACATTGCTCTGCCACAGTCCATGGACTAAACCACTGAAGAAGAAAACAGACTTTAGCATTAAGATACTAAGTGTGGATCAGTATAATATCAGCCTTATGTCTGCACTTTACTGTCACCACAACTTTCACATCATATTAATCTCAGAACAGAAGGAAAAAAATGGTTAACTGACCCCAGAGTCTCAAGTCTACAGTGTGGACTCTCCAGAAAACCACACAGCAGCTTCACTCCTGAATCCTGCAGGTTGTTGTAACTCAGGTCCAGCTCTCTCAGATGGGAGGGGTTGGACTTCAGAGCTGAGACCAGATAATCACAGCTGATCTCTGACAAACTGCAGACACTCAATCTGAATAAAGAATAAAAGATGAAGATAAAATCATTTATAATCCAATCAGATGTGTTCAGGTTTTAAATGTGGAGATCAACATTACTATGTCCTAATCAATGAGCTTTTCTCTAAAATGAGTAGAGTGACTTTGTCATTGTGTTGACTTTTGTCTTTTTTTTTTTACTTTTTTCCACCTGCAGTCTGTTTTGACATCAGCAGGTGAGTCGCGTGTGGGGGAGGCTCGTTGTTAATGACGTAGCCAATCAAAACGATGGAAACCAATGTGGTAACCAATGACATCGGCACCAGCTGATGCGTTCACTGCTGTTCACTGTTGCTTTATCTGGTCCGCACTGGTTAAAATAAAGACTGTATCTGTACAGAGAGCGTCTGTCTCTGTGTCTCTGCAGGGTGACTGTCAGTAGACTGTACAGGAGGGGCAGAGCGAGGGCAGATTGTCACTAGTTTATCCATCACAGATACTTTTACTGAGTGAGAGACACTTTGCTAAAGCAATGGAGGAAAACACAATGTTAGAGAGAAATGTTAAAATAGTTTCAGTTCATTATGAAACTATGATGGAGGAAATTAGACCGTGGTGGGCCGCCACAACCCTGTGTGTGTGTGTGTGTGTGTGTGTGTGAATGATCAATATCAATGATCAGACATTATTTGTTGAAACACATTGAAATGAACAGAAAGCAAAGAAATATTTCTCCTTCAGTAAAGTTGATCAATGTAAACAAATATTAGTTCAGAGGATCTTCTGTATCCAGATGTGACCATTTACCAACAATGATAAACATTAATTCACTTCAAAATCTAACAGCGGACATTTTCTACAGTTTCTATAAGAAACACAAGTCTTTGTGACTGCAGACTAAATTTAGATCAACAAACATGAAAATATGAACAAAAGGAAATGTACAACTTTATGGATGTAGGTTATGTATGAACATAAATTAGGCTCAATTGTTAATGAAAGATATCAGATCTACAACAGTAACAGAGAGTCAGTGAACTGACCTCAGAGTCTCCAGTCTACAGTGTGGACTCTCCAGAAAACCACACAGCAGCTTCACTCCTGAATCCTGCAGATTGTTGTTAGTCAGCTCCAGCTCTCTCAGATGGGAGGGGTTGGACTTCAGAGCTGAGACCAGATAATCACAGCTGATCTCTGACAAACTGCAGCCCAACAATCTGAATAAAGAATAAAAGATGTGAGTTTAGAAGACAATGTTCCTGCTTGAAATCATTCAGTGTTTAATCATCTGTTCAGAGCTGAGGAAGGTTTACAATGTACAAGTTTAGAAAATAACCAAACACCTGAACCCATCAGGATGCAAGTTGCAAACTGTAAAATACAAAGAGTGAAAAAGAGCATTTCTGATGAATAGATCTGCTTCAGTGCTTAATAATATAGGCAATAGTGTCCCTAGTGGAAACTAGGAAAATTACATGCATATTCCCCACAGGGCAAACCCTATACAGTTGCTCAATCTGGTGGAAAATGGTACAACTGGAGAAAATAATGGCCTTGATACAGTAGGATGCATTATTTTATGCTGCAACGGCCCTGGGGTCAAATTTGGTGTTTAAGTATGATGAATTGAGTTTTAAAGCCTATTTACATCAATATATACCTAATATAGGGTTTGGTTTTAAATAAAAAAAAAACAACAACCTTGCCAGAGCATTAACACGCCCAGATTGATTGCACAAGTAAAAGTTAAAAAGAGAAAAATGTCCCTTGCAAGGCATAAGGGTTAACAGTGAACAAGCACTTCTGGAACTTAAGTGCACAGTACAGTATACAGGAAGTACTGCAGTATCAATATCAGGACGAGTGATATTAAAATCATGATTATGTGAAATTTGTTGGAGTCTTTACCAATCAAACATGTTTGTTACATCTGGAGAACAAAGAACAAGCTTTTTATGTTCCATTAATGCATGTTACTAACTTCACTTCTTCCCCGGAGTTCTTGTGCTTTCTCGTCTCGCAGGTTCTTATCGATCCTGGTGGAGCCTCCTGACAAAACTACTGATGGTATTATTATTATTACTATTATTATTGTCCATTGTCCCCCATATATGGCTGTCATCATCATCATCATCATCATCTTGATCATCAGTCATTTCTGTTAGTATAGTTGTTGCTACTGTTGCTGTTGTTGTGCAACTGAGATAACTTTTGTACAAATAAAACTGAACTGAATTTCTTCTCTTTATTTATTAATTGCATCAAACATCAGAGTCACAAAACCATAAATATCAGTATCGTTCCCCTAATAGTTGAGTAAACTGTTATGAGAAGAGTCTCAGTTGACGCACTTTTCATTAGTCAGATATTAGCACCAGGACGACTGTTGTAGCTCTAACCTTTTCTCTTGTAAAGCGGCACTGCAGCATGTGCTAACTGCTAACTGAGCTGCTGACACTAGCTCAAAGTACCTGGGGAGGTTTGTTTACACTGCGAGCTTTGGACTGCCGGGGAGGGGGGCAATAGCTTTGCTAGAGTGAGGAAACAGAGCTGAGCTGACACCGGGACCGAAAACAGCCTCCGACACCATTGGCGTTCAGGAGGAGGACGAAGAGGAGGAAAGGAGTGAAGGCAGCGAGTTTGTAGCCAGTTAATAAGTCAGTAACTGTTAATGTTATCCATCATCCATTGTATCGATAAGTCCTACAGGATTTGTTAGAGTGAAGTTGGAAGTTATTTATTCTTCTAGTTATTTATTATGTGTTGATCAACCAGACTGTGTGATGTTACACTGGGTTGTAATAAATGAACTAAATGTTCGGTCTCCTTGCTGATTGTTCTGATTCGCAATCATTACAGCTTTATTTGTTAGCATTTAAGTGGCCGCTGTTATGTATATATATTTAGATAATTAAAGTTATATCATAAACATTCGATGAGCAGTCAATTACTGACGTTAACTAACGACTACTTGTCAACTCGGAACATCATTAGTCTGGGACGGCCCTAAATATCAGGAACAACAGGATGATCCAGTGTTGTTTTTCTGAGAGTGAAAACTGTTTCGTTTTTTAATCCATCGTGGGTCTAATTAGCCTGTTCTGTGAGGTTCTTCTGATGCAGGACCTTTTAGACTCTAGTTTAGTTCTTAACTTTAGTTCTTTTGGTTCAAAAGTACCTTAAACTTAATGGCTGAAAAGCAGCTTATGAAATCTGAAATGATGACCAAATTTCATGATTCCGAAATTCTGACATGAGAGAAACTGTTTACCCTGCAAGGAGATGATAGTTTAGATACATATTTCAAATGAATGAAGACAAACTAACTTGATTGTTTCAAGTTTACAGTGTGGACTCTCCAGTCCAGCAGATACCAGTTTCAGTCCTGAATCCCTCAGGTTGTTGACACTCAGGTCCAGTTCTCTCACACTAGAGAACTGGGAGCTGAGAACTGAGGACAGAGCTTCACAACTTCTCTTGGAGAGGTTACAGCCATTCAGTCTGGAGAGACAATAATCAGAATAAAGAATAACAGAATAACATTTGTGATATTAATACAATAACAAATAAAACAGACAGCAGGGTATTTAAGTAATAATACAGAAATCCAACTATTTCTGTACTTACAGAGCTTTGTTGGAGGCTTTGACCACTGGCAGCAGCCTCAGAAGAGCCTCCTCTGAACCAGAATATTTCTTCAGGTCAAACACATCCAGATCTTTTCCTGATGACAGTAAGATGAAGCCCAGAGCTGACCACTGAGCAGGAGACAGTTTATCTGTGGAGAGACGTCCTGAACTCAGGGACTGTTGGATCTCCTCCACTAGAGAATGATCATTCAGTTCATTCAGACAGTGGAACAGATTGATGCTTCTCTCTGCAGAGAGATTCTTACTGATCTTCTTCTTGATGTACTGGACTGTTTCCTGATTGGTCTGTGAGCTACTTCCTATCTGTGTCAGCAGGCCTCGTAGGAGATTCTGATTGGTCTCCAGTGAAAGACCCAGGAGGAAGCGGAGGAACAAGTCCAGGTGTCCATTTGGACTCTGTAAGGCCTTGTCCACAGCACTCTGGTGGAGATGTTTCAGATTCTGTTTGTGTTTAAATAATTTAGACTTCAGGGATGTTGTTAGTTGTTTTGCCAGCAGATTGACTCCAGAGTTGATGAATGTCAGATGGACATGAAGAGCAGCCAGAAACTCCTGAACACTCAGATGGACGAAGCAGAAGACCTTGTCCTGGTACAGTCCACTCTCCTCTTTAAAGATCTGTGTGAACACTCCTGAGTACACTGAGGCTGCTCTGACATCGATGCCACACTCTGTCAGGTCTGATTGATAGAAGATCAGGTTGCCTTTCTGCAGCTGCTCAAAAGCCAGTTCTCCCAGAGACTTAATCATCTTCCTGTTCTCTGGACTCCAGTGTGGATCTGTCTCACTTCCTCTATCAAACTTGACATTCTTCCGTTTGGACTGAACCACCAGGAAGTGGATGAACATCTCAGTCAGGGTCTTGGGCAGCTCTCCTCTCTCTCTGGTCTTTAACACTTTCTCCAGAACTGTAGCAGTGATCCAGCAGAAGACTGGGATGTGGCACATGATGTGAAGGCTTCGTGAGGTCTTGATGTGGGAGATGATTCTGTTGGCCTGTTCCTCATCTGTAAATCTCTTCCTGAAGTACTCCTCCTTCTGTGGGTCAGTGAACCCTCTGACCTCTGTCACCATGTCAACACACTCAGGAGGGATCTGATTGGCTGCTGCAGGTCGTGAGGTTATCCAGAGGCGAGCAGAGGGAAGCAGTTTCCCCCTGATGAGGTTTGTCAGCAGAACATCCACTGAGGTGGACTCTGTAACATCAGTCAGGATCTCAGTGTTGTTGAAGTCCAGAGGAAGTCGATACTCATCCAGACCGTCAAAGATAAACACAACCTGGAACTCTTCAAACCTGCAGATTCCTGCTTCTTTGGTTTCACTAAAGAAGTGATGAACAAGTTCCACCAAGCTGTACTTTGGCTTTTTCAACAAATTCAGCTCTCTGAAAGTGAATGGAAATGTGAACTCTATGTCCTGGTTGGCTTTGTCTTCAGCCCAGTCCAGAGTGAACTTCTGTGTTAAGACTGTTTTCCCAATGCCAGCCACTCCCTTTGTCATCACTGTTCTGATTGGTTCATCTCTTCCAGGTGAGGGTTTAAAGAGGTCTTCTTGTCTGATTGTTGTTTCTGGTCTGTCTGGTTTCCAGGATGCTGTTTCAATCTGTCTGACCTCATGTTCATCATTGACCTCTGCAGTCCCTCCCTCTGTGATGTAGATCTCTGTATAGATCTGGTTCAGAAGGGCTTGGTTTCCTGCTTTAGCAATCCCCTCAAACACACACTGGAACCTCTTCTTCAGGTTAGATTTAAGTTTTTGCTGACAAACTCCAGAATGACTTCCTGAATGAACACAAACAAAAATCATCAGGTTTGGCAGTCAGTGTGTCTGGGTGATCCTGTCTCATCTTTTTATTGACTTTATCAGCCTGAACATACTTTTGTTAACAGAGAAGGGTGCTTCCTCTGATTCTATACATGCTGAGGGTTTCTGCACTATTTATCAACTGTATTTCCTCGCTGCATATACAATAATTCCTGGTTATAACATGACCTTAAAAATGTAATTGCACACCCAAATTCTGCTAGCTCGCTCCCTCCCAGCATTTAAAAGATGTAGCAGAGAACTGCACAGGACAACCACTGTAAATAGGTGTGGCCTCATGGCGATGTGCTGTGTAACGAGAGGTAAAGAGACACCGACCAGAGTGTGACAGACTGACCACTGCTCAATGACCTGGTAGTCAGAGATAAGCGGACCAGCCATGAACGTCTGATGTTAGACTCTCCATGTTCACGCTGGAAACACAGAGACCCCTGGAGCTTTAACAGCCATTAGAGATGTTGGTGACTAACTTCACAGTCAATTAAATGGAAATTATAAGTTCATTAGTCTAAAAGTAGCTCCACCATATTCTTTCCCCTGAATAGTGCCTTCTCTAACAGATAAGCTGTGTGAGGTTAGATGGTAGAAAGTGAAATAAGCTGCTAGAATCACATAGCAGGAACCAAATGTTGAACTATATCTTCTAAGGTGGGACAAAGAGGACTCTTAAAACCAGCAGTGGCATTGGTGAAGGGACGGGGGCTTCTGCCTGCTGGGGCTGTATCCTGAGATACTCTCTGGTGTGTGTGTCTGTGTGGGAGTGTCAGTATGTAGCCCTGCTGATTATCATTGGGTCTCACGAACACAACACATGGGGACACATGAGCATAAAACCATCCAGGTTACTCAGGGACATTAATATCTCCCGGTGTTTTAAACCAAGGAGTAAATAAAAGAGAATGGAATCAGGTGGCTCCATCATGCCTCTGTCCTCTCAAATAGCAATGGTTGATAACTTAAACCTTCTCTCATAATAACCAGATCAGGCCTCCAGTTTTACTCTTTGGTAAATACAATCTGTACTTGGAGACACTGTTCCTTTACAAGGATCATGTTGTCAGTGTTAACATACTCTTTTTACCTGAAATACAAATAAATAAAGTGTGACTGACCTTCTGGTCCTGAGCTGGTGTCTGGCAGACTCTGCACCAGATCGTTCCTGTTTATCTTCTGTAAAACCTTCTTGGTCACCTTCAGAGCTCCATCAACATCAAAGGTGTTCACCATCAGGTCCACTGTGTCCCGTCTTTCTTTCGCCTCTTCCAGCTTAGATTCTTTGATGGGTTTGTAGCCTTCCAGGATGTCGGGCTGCTTCAGATACCATTTGAAGTTCTTGAATTCCTCATCTATTAAATCCTCTAGAGTGTTCAAAAGGTCCTCTGCTGTCATCGTGGCTCTCTGTTAAAATCAGGCAGTGTTGGCAACCTGAAGGAAAAGAGTTACACAAATGTATCAGAGCAACAACAGGAGGTTCTGATTGGCCGACACAGGAGCTGTGTTAGTTTGCAGTATTTGTGTGCAGAGTCCAGTTAGAGTTCCTCCTGCTGCTGCTGGGATGATTAAAGACAGCCATCTTTGAGTTAAAGCACCACCACATGGAAACTGTAAATATTAAGGATGCTAATGAACTGTTAGATCCCTTCATTCTTTCAGAAAAACACAAAAATAAACAGCTGAAGTCTTACGTTCCACCAACTTTTAGTTCTGGAATAAAGGAACTGCTGTTGTTTCTATCTGCGCTGGCAGCAACAACACCAAACAACACCAGAAAGATAAAATCATAATGAAACCAAAGCTTTAAGGTGAACACATTAAAATGTGGATAAGACAACAGTTGTAGATGTTAACTTGAGAAAGCATCCAATGTTCCACAGTCAGCTCTGTTTCCTGTCCTGCAGTGCATGAAATAAGAACCAGACCAAAGCTGTGTCACATAGTAACATACTGCATATTACATACTCAGTCAGTATGTACTGCATACTGTGTAGTGAATGAATGATTGAGTATGCCCTTACCAGCAGAACTGAACTATATTCACTCAATACGTCTAATACGAGTTAAAGATTTCACTACACGTTGTTCTGGGTATGATTGTATATGTGAGAATAAAGTGGATTCTATTCTATAAAATCTTCCACTCAATGTAATATTTTACAGTAAAGTCTGTAAAAAAGTATTAAATATGTTAATGTTAGCTGAAATATTTACACAATAGTACAATATATATTTGAGCTCAGCTGTTTTTCCTCCTAAGTGCACCTTAACATTCTGGGTCCTGAGTAGCTACTGCTTCAAGTTCATGGTTTATCCAACCATGCCTCCTACCAGCCACAGTGTAGCGCTAGAACCATCTGGCTCACCGTCTGCTATTGGACAGTCTGAAGAGACACAATGCATTTTGAGTATGTCCAGTAACGCTCACAGCGCATACTCAGAAATTCCTGTAAATCTAGTTTACATTTCTCACATTCACAAAATCCACACACTGTGCAGTTGAAATGCTCTACAGACTCAATCTGACGTCATACGGATAATATAAATTCTGTTAGTATGTGACACACAGTGTCATAGGATACCCTGGCTCAAAGTCTGAGTACAGTTCTCTGCTGGTTCTACTCAACTACAGGGGCCTCGCTAAAAGCCGGTCTCCAGCAGAACCACCATCTAAAAAATGTCTCTTACAAACCTTCAGATGGACAGAAGAAGCTTCACTGATCTCAGTGCACCGCTGCTCCAGTACACAGAGTCCAACCAGGAAGGAAGAGCTGCAGCCCGCAGAGGTCGATTACTCAGAGACGCACCGACAGCCGCTTCTAAAGCACAAAGAGCAAACAGCTGCTGTGTCTGTGGAGCACAGCTGCATGCGCAACCGGTGGATTCATTATTTTATTAACCATTAATCTGTCAATATTCAGTTTACTGTCACAGAGGACTAGAAACTAGAAAATATTCACAGTGGACATAAAAGAGGAAGCAGAGTGCAGTTTCCTCTAAAAACAAGAAGCTAGGGAGGGACTTCAGTAGCAGTGTCATCATTTTATCTATAAAACTATTTCAACACACTCAATTCTGTAAAAGTGGCTAAAATCAGGCTGTTTGAGGTCCACTTGAATGAAATTCTTAAATCAGTGTGAAGCTTGTGTTTGATGCAGTGAGGTGCTGTACCAGCAGGTGGCAGCAGAGTCTAAATTACTGAACTAACATCCAACAGGTTGTAATGTTTGTGTATCAGCAGAGCTGCTAACCCCATCAATTCTTTCTTTACACACATTTTACTGAGTGTTTGTGAGCCATGGCCTCTCCTGAGAGCTGAGTACAACACAAATAATGAATAGAAGGTTTTACTCAGACTTTGTATCCACAGATAAATCAAACAGTTGAGTTCATTCTGACTTTCCTCAGCAGTTCACAGACACACAACTGGCTCAGATTCTGACAGTAAAACAAGAATAATGTTGTATGAACACTCACCCTGTTTCCACCTTCCTGCTCTGCTAATATAACATGAGTCTGAGCTGAAGGCACCAAATACTTCTTCTCTCAGGTATCTCAGTCCCTCCCCTCTCCACCTCCACCCTCTGAGTCTGTGTTGATGTAATCTTTCTGTGTTTGTTAAAGGTCCTGTGTGTCACATTGAGGAGGATTTATTGTTATAAATTTAATATAATATTCATAGGTATGTTTTCATTAGTGTATAATCACCCAGAATGCACAAACCAAACACTGGCTGTAGATAGGGACCTTCATGTTTTCGTAGTTTCTCCTTTATGCTTGGAAGGGGAAGATGAAGTGACTACAACTACATCAGCAAAACAGAAGAAGAAGAATCCCTTTTATTTATTATACGTACACATACAAGGAATTTGACTCCGGTGTTGTGTTGCTCTCAATGTACATGCACAGAAACAGGCATACATATAGCAAACAATGACAACAGTCTATATAAGGTAAACATAAAACAGCCATGTACCCAGACCAACAGACTGCTCTGTACTGTGTGTTCTGACCAATTTCTATCAGAACCAGCATTAACTGTTTCAGCAGTTTGAGCTACAGTAGCTCGTCTGTTGGATCGGACCACACGGGCCAGCCTTCACTCCCCACCTGCATCAATGAGCCTCAGCCACCCATGATCCTGTCTCTGGTTCTGTTCCTTCCTTGGACCACTCTTGATAGGTACTGACCTCTGCAGACCGGGAACACCTCACAAGAGCTGCAGGTTTGGAGATGTTCTGACCCAGTCGTCCATCACAATGTGGTTCTTGTCAAAGTGGCTCAGATCCTCACGCTGCCCATTTTTCCTGCTTCTAACACATCAACTCTGTCTACTGTCTGCCTGATTTACCCCCCCACTGACAGGAGCCCTGATATAACCCCCCACTGACTAATGTAAATGTGTCACAAGATAAGACAAACATTATACATTAAAGGGATCACATTGCTGATTCCTGTCTGTGTGCTGCCACAATATGTGTTAGTCAGTTAGCCAGTTCTATTTGTTATAGTGTACCGTGCTCCTGGACCGTACTCTGATTTTATATCTGAATTCTCAGAGTTTTTATCAAGTTTAGTCCTTAATTCAGATAAAGTAATTATTGTAGATGATTTTAATATTCCTGTGGATGTTAACAATGACAGCCTTAGTAACGCATTTATCTCATTAATAGACTCAATTGGCTTCTGTCAGAGTGTAAATAAACCCACTCATTAACCAACTCTAATACTAAATCATGCAATCGTGCAATAGGGCAATGTGCAATAAACAAACCAGCACCGTTGCACTTTAATTCTTACAGTCTCTTTTTAAGCTGTCACATTGTCAGTGTTAAAATGTGTAGTGTCTTCCATGTTTTGAGATGTTTCATGTTGATTATGTAATTGTTTTTTTGACGTGTTGTGTCTGTATTTTTGTTTCTGTGAAGAAACTGTGCCCAAGACAAATTTCCCCTCTGGTACAATAAAGTTTATTCTATTGTTTTAATCACACTCTAACCTCGTTCTATAGTATGGCATTGATATTGAACATTTAATAGTCTTCCTACATAAGCCTTCAGCTTCCAAGCTCCTCTCTTGTTGAACCAGCTGTAACAACAGGGAGGTTCAGTAGCCATGTCATCATTTTATCTATTAAAAAAAATGATTTCAACACACTCAATTCTGTAAAACTGGCTAAAATGAGGTTTGGAGATGCTCTGACCCAGTCGTCTACCCATCACAATGTGGCCCTTGTCAAAGTCACTCAAATCCTCACATGCCCATTTTTCCTGCTTCTAACACATCGACTCTGAGGACAAAGTATAGATAAAGACTGATAGAACAACATCAATCAGGACCTCCAGGATTCAGAACTGTGAAGCAGCTTATCCTTTCAGTCTGTGAAGCTAAGCTAATTTTAGCTCAAACAGTCAACTTCAGTCCGATCTCAGAACCTTTACGCTGTCAGATGTAAATTAGAAGCAGTTTGTTGTTCTTACCATGAACTGACAGAAGCTATTATCAATAAATATGACAACACTTCTTTTAAACACTGAAATATCTGTGACTAGTGTGGTAAACCACAAATATAATATCATGTGAATTACAGCTATTTAACTGTTAATTAACTATTTAATTTTTTGCATAACTTCTTGCAACCTTCGCAACAGAATTTAAAACAAGATGTTACGTAGCTCCCTCTCAGAAGAATAAAACAAGACACTAATCATTAATAAATTAAATTAAATAATATACAGAACATTTTATTTTACTCAATTTCTGTAGAAAATACATCACTATAGAAACATATCATCATGTGTTATCTGTTTTGCCATCCTGCCATTCCATTGGACAGTTTTTTTGTGTTTCCAGTCTGCCTGATTCCATGTGAATGCAGCATCATTTAAATGAAACAGTCATTATTCAGTTTAGCGAGCAGCTAGGTATAACTCGTCAATGCTGAATTGGATTGCAACCAGATTTGGGAATGTTGTACTTAAAGCCACATTGCACATCTGTGTAACATTTCATACAATTCAACCCACAACAGCTCCACAGTAATACTAAGTTATAGAGGAGAGGGAAAATATAAGTCAGAGATCAAGGCTGTATAAAGATCAGAGGTCTGTACTGTTCATTTGATTCAAATAATAGCAACAATAATATTATTAATATTAATTTAGTTTTATAAGTTTTAGTGAGGCCATTGGACGATACTACTTATTAAGTTATAAAGGTCAGTGCTGTAAATACAGGGCAGTGGTCCGTGCTGTAGATACAGGACAGACATCAGTGCAGTCGATACAGGGCACCTATTGGATCTGTAGATATAGGACAGTGATGTACACTAATGATTTGGCACTAATAGTGTGATTTCTGAAAGCAATCGCACATTGTTATCTTCAGTCTTTATTTTGCTTATTTTCTTCTTTGACTGAAATGATGACTTTGGTTGGTATCTTCAGCTGTGAACCACAAACACTTCTTACTGGGACTCATTCAGAAGCTGTGCCTGCGAGCAGCAGTAGCAGTGGCAGCAGGAGGTGAAGCAATCACACTAACTGTCTTCAGGAAATACAAATATTCTAGTTTCAACTTTTTATCTCATAATTATGACTTATTTAATAATATATGACTTACCATGGGGATATTTTTATGATCAAGGTTAAGTTTCCCCTTTTTAATATTACTGGCAGAAATGAGCTCCCATACATATCAGACACCCTCAATGTTCTCTGCTGTGTGGGTTGTTGTCGCTGTTTGACAGTTTAATAGCAGCCACACAATCTTTTTCCTGCATCTACATCTACAGGACAAAAACTCACCTGGGCTGGAAATGTGAAACACTGGAATCTTCCCCAGTCAGGCTGAAAGGTAACTAAAAGTCCAAAGAAAATAAACAAAAGCATTTGGAGATCCATCTATTTCTGACCACAGACACTGCTCCTCCTCTCTCTGATGGACAACTGATTTCAGGTGTTCCTACGGTGGAAAACCGTGAAAGGCCCAAAAAAGTCTTAACAAATTGACAATTAAGGGTACACTACCAATGAAAAATGAAGGTGCTTTAATAACATTTACACACTCTAAAGAGGGAACAAACACTTTCTTTTTCTCCTTTCTACTTTTAAAATGTCATAAATTGATTCAGCGTCCATAATAACCCCCAAACCACCTCCATATTGTCCAAATCAGACAAGCAGTAATATATTATTGTCCATATAGGTAATTAGGATTAATGGCCCAACATATTCTAGTTCTCATCTGGCAGTTTACAAATGTTGGGGACCCATACGGTACATTTCTAATATAAGTACCTCCCACCTCTGCCGATTAACTTTAACTTTAACCTGCTATGCACAACTCTTTTAGTACAAACTTTCCATGTAACAATTGCACTTGTATAGTTATACACTGTTTAAAATATAGAAAAATATACTATCATATTTTTATGTTATTATGCTTTTAATGTGTTTTTACTCTTTACTGTTTGCACTACCTTTCCCCTGTGCTGTTGTGTCAAACGTGAACTTCTTCCATGGGGGATCAGTAAAGGAACATCTTATCATCTTATCTGATCTTACGCAACATTTCCAGGTTCCTGTTGCTGTTGAATACAACATAGATTGTTTTAAATAAAGCACCAACATTTTGGCCAAAACTCATTTTAAATAAAATTATTCTAAACAGCTATAACACACACACACACACACACACACACACACACACACACACACACACACACACACACACACACACACACACACACACACAGACAGCTGATTTCCTGTAAATGAGAGGGGAGGAGCTACACTGACAACGTCATCCAGGCACATGAGAACAGGGAGGGAACCTCAAAGTGAAAGGGTTCAGTTGCTTTAGACTCCATTTTGAGCTGACAGAACGAAGCAGAAGGAATTCCAGAGGCTGAGGCAGGGTGAGTGTTAATACAACATTTGTATTATGTTATTGTCAAAGTCAGTT